ATTTTCAAAGTGCTTACTGCAGGTACTATACATGTCATCATGCAGTTACAGTTACTTCCCGCATGTGTATATTAACCTTAAAATAGACATGTCAGTAGAAAACCTGAACGATAATTGTACCACATCAATGCGCAAATGATAGGCTATGTAGTTAGTTCAATTTATTGTGGACATTCTCAAGTATTAGTATACACCACGATAAACGCTACTCTTATTTTGGTACATTGCATGTGAGCTAAAATATCATAGAAACAAAGTATTGGTTATTCAATTAAACTCTAAAGTGTAACATTTAGATCAGGTTGTTCTATGATTCACAACCTACTTCGCCTCCATATCGCATGCCCAAATATTTCAGCCAATGCGATACGGACACACTAGATTGATTCAAGTAACTCAAATCAAACACCTGGCGGTGATCAGAATGGCAACCAGCCACCCCGGACATGGAAAGCATTCCTTCGAAGTATCGGGACCGTGAAGTGAGGGTCATTTTGTGACAAGGGCATCTGCTAGCGCACGGGAGAGTTGCAGCTACTTTCTGGGAGATCAACTGCTCCTTCTGGCGATGTTGTCTCTGTGAGACACTCTCGACTTGAGGTTTTTATCACATCAACCTTGAATTCTTTGCTAAGCAGTGGAGGAAAAAGTCCCACCACTCGTAAAAGTCTCAGAATCAAAGTATTAATACCCAGATATATTGGGTACATAAGACAACAGTGAGATCACTGCGCCAATATGATGGCTGGACGTGATAATTGCATTGCCAGGTAAGCATTGCGATGATAGATCATAGAGTCAAGCGCGGCGACTAGACCGAGGATTTGGATATTTTGAAATCAAAAGTCGTCATCACTATCCTCGTCATCCTTTGGTGGAAGCATCTTACTCATGTAAGGACCATCCAACCAATAGCCTAATCTTCGATAATAATCTCTTGTACCAACACCACTGATGACACTTATCTTTGTACTTCCATGCTCATTTCGGGCAATCCTTTCAGCTTCTTCCATGAGTAATGTCCCATAACCTTGATGTTGAAACTTTCTTGGATCACGAGCATGAACCGGAACAGCTGAGCCATAAACGTGAAGCTCACGAATTATACTCGTAGGCTGTCCAGTAAGCTCGGGTCTGAAGGTATGTGTTTTGGAACACTTTCTCAAACGAAGTAATCCGATAAGAATATCTTGCTTTGGATCTTCATATGCTAAGAATGTCTCCCATCCTTTATTTGCGGTATAATCTCTTCGAACAAGTTCAACTTGAGAAGGACGAATCTTATTCTTAACCTCATTGATACCAACTTCACGAGTTCGAACATCACGGCAAGTAGTACCAAAATCCTTCATTCTACTCAACGCAAGCTCTCGAAGATTTCCATTCTCAACACCAGATGTGACCAAAGGCATTGGAATATCTCTTTGAACGCGATAAATACGAGTCCACGGTGGTACAAGAGCGAGAATGCGAGCGACTATATCGATAAGGGCATTTGGTGTGTAGTTCTTGTATCTGCCAGTTCTCCAGAGTTCGTATAAACCAGTTCCACGAATGACCAATGTTGGGTAAATTTTGAGACCATCAGTTCTAAAGGCAGGGTTTTCGAAATATTCCCTGAATTGATCCAAATCTCTCTCCATTCCAACGTTGGGTAAATCTGGCATCATATGGCTAACAACTTTAAAGCCAGCGTCCTTCGCCAGGCAAAATGTCTCTGCGACTGAAGCCACTGTGTGACCTCTGTTGGTATCTCGAGCAACATCCTCGTAAAGAGATTGTACACCAATCTCCAGACGGGTGCAACCATATCTTAGCATAGCAGATAAATGTGGCTGTAAGCAATAATCCGGTCGAGTTTCAATTGTGATACCAACACATTTGATGTTACTCATCTCACCAGCTTGAACTGCTTCATCTACATTATTTCCTTGATATCCACTGAGCGCATTGTGCAACTGGGAGATAAACCCATCTCTGTAACTTTCAGATAATGACATGAAAGTACCACCCATAATAATATATTCAACCTTGTCGACGCTGTGGCCGAGAGACTTAATTTGATCTACTCTTCCTCGGGCTTGTTCAAAGGGATCGTATCGTGCTCGAATAGCTCTCATGGATGTAGGTTCATAACCAGTATATGATTGTGTAGAATATTCGAAATCGGAATCAGGTCCACCAGGACAATAGACACAAATGTTTCCTGTGTAGGCAATGTGAGGACATCTATGTGGTTTACACATAACTGCGACAACAGCAATACCAGAAGCACTTCCTGACGAACTGTTAGCCCCGCATATGTCCATGTAATAGGAAGTACATACTAATTGGTTTTGCGATTAACTTGGGAAGAATGTATTTCTTATAATGTTCTGGAATGGCGGCAATAATAGCAGTCAATGGTGGAATATTACTGAGCCTGTGACGTTTTGACATTTTGGCCCTTAAACTATTCAAATTGATATCCTTCCTTGGCGCATTTGGATCCTGTTGAGATTCATGATCCTGCACTAATGCGCTAGCAATATCTGAACATGCTCTCAAGTATCTTTCATTCTCTGGAGGTAGATTAGGATCCTTTGGTTTTCTTTGCCTATCCGACAATGTCATTGTATCGACGGTAGTGGCCATTTTGGATTGTGTGGAGATGCAGTTGGTTCAATACGATTGCACGTTGGGATAGGTTTTGATCGCCTTTCTCTCGAGGCTTTGCGCAACCTTTGGTATCTCAAAATCAAAACTCTTCTCGTGGTAAATCGGGAATTTATGAAGAGAGTGATGCAGTTGATGCTTTGATGAGATCGCGGGGTTACTAAAATTAATGTTCTCGTGTGAAATAAATTTCCATTCCAAGCCAAACTACCGGAATAACTAATTAATCCGGTAAAATCGGAGGCCTTGCAAGCGATTCCGTCCGTAACAGAAGAAGCTGGTAAGAAGAAAAGAAGGAAATAATTCAAGATAAACTTCAAATCACTTTCCTGTCTTTCATATCTGACATCAATTGTCCCTCAGACAAGATGCAGGCTTTTTCAAGATGTGCCAGACCTGCGATGCAGGCTGCTATGAGAAGACAAGGTTATTCCACTTCGACCTCTGCTTATGCTGCTACCGCGGAAAACCTTCGTATCACTAAGGATACTAGAGTTATCTACCAAGGTTTCACTGGTAAACAAGGAACGTAAGTACTATCGCGAGACCCTATCTGGTATTGAAGAATTAAGCTGACAAATCTGCCATAGTTTCCACGCCCAACAAGCCATCGAATATGGTATGTCTTGAGACGAATAATGGGGGAATTGAAAAGGTTCTGATATGTAAATAGGTACAACTGTTGTTGGAGGTACAAACCCAAAGAAGGCTGGACAAACTCATCTCGATTTACCCGTTTTCGCAACCGTCGAACAAGCTGTAAAGGAAGCCGGTGCTACAGCTTCTGCTATCTTCGTCCCGTAAGATCTACCGCAATCGCAAAGAATCTGTGATGGAAGGATGGACTTGGTGCTGATGTAATATACTTTGCAGACCCCCTCTTGCTGCTGCCGGTATTGAGGAGGCTATCGCTGCTGAAATTCCTTTGGTTGTGTGGTAAGAATATCTACCAAATTTGCATGTGATAGCACTTGTACTAATTGATGGTCTAGTATCACTGAGGGTATCCCACAACATGGTATGTTTATATTTGGAGTTTGAGAAGATAAATCTAACCTCAATATAGACATGGTTCGCATTACAGACATCTTGAAGACTCAAGGAAAGACACGTTTGGTTGGACCTAACTGCCCAGGTCTCATTGCACCAGGACAATGTAAGATTGGTATTATGCCAGGGTTCATTCACAAGCGTGGACGTATTGGTATTGTTTCTCGTTCAGGAACTTTAACTTATGAGGCTGTCAACCAAACTACACAAGCTGGATTGGGACAATCTCTTGTTGTTGGTATTGGTGGTGATCCATTCTCTGGAACCAACTTCATTGATTGCTTGAAGGTATTCCTTGAGGATGAGGAGACTGATGGTATTATCATGATTGGAGAAATTGGTGGATCCGCAGAAGAAGATGCTGCCGAATTCTTGAAGGATTACAACACTGCTAAGAAGCCAGTTGTCAGCTTTATCGCTGGTATCTCTGCTCCTCCTGGACGAAGAATGGGACACGCTGGTAAGTATCTTAAAATGATAACCACTAATGACACTTGACTAACTTATCTCAGGTGCTATTGTCAGTGGTGGAAAGGGTGGTGCCGATTCCAAGATCTCAGCTCTTGAAGCTGCAGGTGTTATTGTTGAGAGAAGTCCAGCATTGCTCGGAAAGACATTACATGCTGAGTTCATGAGACTTGACATGATTTAAGGATATTGTTTTGTGAATAGATAAAGGGGCGATGATGATGTGCATTTGGTTTTAATGGTTTTCTTCAATACCTCATTCCTGTACAGCTAGCAATTACCCTATGTGTGCCAGTATAGACCTTTATAGACTTGTGATGGAGAGATAATCTAGGCAAACTTTTGAAGTGATGAATGATGAATGATGAGTGATAACATATACTGTATGTAGATAGCGAAAGCTACCGGATATTGCTAACTCTATTCGACCTCGTCAGTAAGGCTACCTGAATATAACATGCGTCTATTACTCTCTGTCTCTATTTGGAAAAAACAAACAGGCTACCTAAAATACATACCCTTTCCAATATTCCCATGAACCAAAACCACCAGAATTCTAATTGAATTTTGTACAGAAACATTTGAAGGCTTTTGAGCTCATCATCTAATCTACATGATCATCTCATAATAATTCAATGACACACCTACATTGTTGAAAGATTTCGTTTTAACCCCTGAGCACTACTGAAAGGCATGTTCGGTAAATATTATACTGTATTGAGCTTGTACTATAGATCTACTGCACCTCGTAGCTCTCGGCTCCCCACACCTTATCCTCCCTCGACATTTCAATAAACAAATCCTCCTTCAACCACATATCAATCAAAATGCTGTCTGGCATATTGATCTTCAATCAAAAGGGAGAGAATCTGATCTTTCGCGCATTTCGAAATGATTGTCGACCACGACTCGCAGATGTCTTCCGAATTCAGGTCATCTCCAATGCACAAGTTCGTTCACCAATCCTTACTTTAGGAAGTACAACCTTCAGTCATGTCAAACACGAGAACATATATTTGGTTGCAATTACCAAGAGCAATGCCAATGCTGCGCTGGTTTTCGAATTCCTCTATAGATTGATTGCGCTGGGGAAAGGCTACTTTGGAAAGTTTGACGAAGAAGCGGTTAAGAACAATTTCGTCCTGGTATACGAACTTTTAGATGGTGAGTGCAATGCGCGATTCGCAGGTATCAATCGTGCTGGAAGCTGATGAATTTGCGACATAGAAATCCTGGATTTTGGATACCCTCAAAATACAGAGACAGATACATTAAAGATGTACATCACGACGGAAGGTGTCAAATCGGAACGAACCATGGAAGACTCGGCGAAGATTACAATGCAAGCAACCGGAGCTTTATCATGGAGGAAAGCCGATGTCAAATACAGAAAGAATGAAGCATTTGTAGATGTCATTGAAGATGTCAACCTTTTGATGTCTGCTACAGGAACTGTTCTACGAGCTGATGTAAATGGTCAAATCGTTATGAGAGCATATCTTTCCGGAACACCAGAATGCAAATTTGGACTCAATGATCGATTGTTGTTAGATGGCGATAGTCTTTCATCTCTACCATCTGGAAATCGTATGGGTACCAAGGCCACCAAAGCAGCAGCTGGTAGTGTTACACTGGAGGATTGTCAATTTCACCAATGTGTTAAGCTAGGGAAATTCGATACCGACAGAATCATTTCATTCATACCTCCCGATGGAGAATTCGAACTTATGCGCTATCGTGCCACCGAAAATGTCAATCTGCCATTTAAAATTCATGCCATCGTGAATGAAGTTGGTAAAACAAAGGTCGAATACAGTATTGCAATCCGAGCAAATTATGGTAGCAAGCTATTCGCTACCAACGTCGTTGTTAAGATACCTACGCCTTTGAATACTGCTCGAATCACCGATCGATGTACACAAGGAAAAGCAAAATATGTACCGGAAGAAAATGTTATTATATGGAAGATACCAAGATTTACTGGACAAAATGAATTTGTCTTGAGCGCGGAAGCTACATTGACAAGCATGACGAACCAAAAGGCATGGTCAAGACCACCATTGAGTTTGAACTTTAGCTTGTTGATGTTTACAAGTTCGGGACTGTTGGTTAGATATCTGAAGGTTTTTGAGAAGAATAATTACTCGAGTGTAAAATGGGTGAGATATATGACCAGAGCAGGGTCTTATGAGATACGGTAAGTTTGAAATTCAATGATGTATAAACATTTCACTAACAATTTGCAGATTTTAATCAAAGGTATCATTCGGGATGGAGTTCTGGGAAACAAAGCATTGCCAAGGCGTCGGAGTAGAAATTGGGAATATAATACAATCTTCATGTCTTACTATGGTCATTTCTGAGGAGCTTTACTTTGATGTCTTCATCACCCAATTCTCTAATGGAATCCCCGAATACACATTCCAACCGTTTTCCTATTATACTTAATACCAAACCACACGACAAAGTCATCTTTTAGTACTTCTCCATCTTATCGACTTCATAGTTGTATTCACCATAGTCTCACTATCTTTAATCTTTCCTCATGCACCCCGCCCCTAAATGATCTAACCCAACATTATTTCACCACGACAGATCTCCAGAGGCTACTGAAAGTTCATTTTCCCATAGGACTTTGGACATATTAAAATCGGCTCTGAAATGAATCTCTCTCTAATCTCATAAAAAATAGTTCGCTGTTATGCTCTTATTCATACATTCCACGCAGCTGATAGCAGTTTCTCAAAGAGCGACGTCTTTTGCATCTTCCTCCACCTTAATGTATCCCTTTTCTTTGGAACTTACTTTGATAAAGGTTGTCCCTCCGCTTTTGACCTGGCGTTCTTTTCGAGACCGGGTGTCAATTAAAATGGTTACATGCGAGTAGTACTCATAGAGCATCCCATGACCAAAGGGTAGTAGAGGGATCGCTGCTAATTGTCTGCATGAGTTTCATTGAATCAGTCAATATCTGTGAATATATCGTATGGACGTTCAGAAGTGATAAATCAGATTCTTATGTTAGCCATTTGGAGATTCCCTTGATGATTGCATTTGGTCTGAGGCTGATGGCTCTTCCGCTCTCTCGATATCATCGTATAAGGAAGTCCAAACTTGGTTTGAAATTTGAAAAGATCACTGTCTCTGACCAATACTTATCGATACTCAATTTCTGATCAATACCAATAGTTGGATATCCGAAAGGGTTTTCATAGTCTACATTGTGACGATAAAGCTTGATCATACAATGAGAACACTCATGCACCGAACTTGACTATATGGCCATTGACGAATAGTCTGATCTTCTCAAGGCCTTTTCTCTATCCTCGTTCGACTTTCTATTCCAGAGAATCATTCCTAATTACTTTTCCTATCTTCGCATGCACAATCATCATAGGACTTTTCGTTTCTTAAACCCTATCTTGTCCATGATTTGTCCTCCATCACACGCCTCACTGTAGCCGTCATATCTCAGCCAATAAAGGTCTGGAATATCGACACACATTTTAGTACGTAGGACGTTGACTCCTCTACGTTCCCTTCAAGCTCATTCCTATTACTGGCAGTGTGATCATAGTTATAGCTCATAAGACCAGCTTTTGCCAAAAATACTCTGCTCTTCAGCAACATGCAAATACCTTCCTTGGAAAAGGGAAAGCTGAGAGTAAGGCATTGTTTCAGTGAAAGGACAAGGCTTCCGGATAAAGGAAATCCTCTAGGATAAAGTTACACAGTATCCGGAGTTGGTGGAAAATAAATAGTGCGCACACGCGTGATGAACTGCTACCCATCCTATGCATTGCGTGTGCGGATGCATGGGATGTGTGAGCTAACCAAAGGTATTGACATGTTGTCCCTAATATACCATAACACCTCCTAGATTGACGAGTAAGTATGACCTTAAACCCTGCCTTTTCACGAAAGATTTTGCTGAATAGTGGCACTGAGATGAATGCCAAGATAAATCAAAACTTAATTCAGATTTGGTAGACATACAATCACAATCCCACATGATGTTGAGTCGTGTGCGGTCGCTGGTTTGTTCCTTCCCTTTCTTTTTCGAGATGATTTTGGATGTATGTTTTTCATTCTTGTTAATCTTGAAGGGTGATATCTGATGGATAGTGGCTCAGACTAGTCATTGGCAATGTATCACTTGTCAGAGGCAAGAGTGGTATATATATATCCAAGCTACATGAGTCAGTATTAATTCCCCATTCTTTTCATTCTTTTTCCTTAAATCCGATCTCATGATCCGATAAAAGAATCTTCACAATCGCATCCGAAGGCTCATATAATGTGGGATGACAGTCAATGCTAAAGCTAGAAGGAGGTAAAATACTAGAAGATTTCGCTACTTATATGAGATGTTCAAGTCCTAGACTTTCTAATTTCAATCTTGTGTTCTCCGACTTCAATGCTGGGATCGAAATGGGATATGATAATTTTCGAGTTATTTTCCCATCTGTAGGATTATCGAAGCGATGCGTTACTTCGGAGGTTATCGAGGTAATCAGTGTACTTACCACGCAACAATAATTTGTATTTGAAAAGGCATCTTGAGGTGGTTGATTTTAGCTTGATTGCATGTATTTGTGAGGGTATCGACTTCTCTTTTAGTAGTGGGTACTTCTTAATTTCAAAAATAGGAAGTTTAGGGATTGAAGTGGAGTGGCTCGGAGGAATTGCATGGATAGGTAGGTGTGGTGGGATCTGGATATCTTAGGAGATTTTGCCCGCTCGGCGGAACTGGTAGGGGAATTCATGATGATAGTTGGTTGGGGGGCGGCCTGTCTTCCGTTAGAGGTATCTATTACAGATATGGGGTTGGAAGACTTGGTGTCTTGGGATGGAGATGTTTCGAGAGGTGGGATCGAGGATGTTGTGTGAACAAAAACATTCGATGGGCAGATAGGGCTTTCTATTCCTTTTGTTCCTTCATGGAGATGGATGCATTGTCCGTGGTTGGTCTTTATACATACCTATGTTCGTGAATGATTGGTTCCCTTTTACAACTGTTTGGAGCATTGTATCATTACCATAAATCACACCGACAATGAATAAACGGATGATTAAATAAATGAATGTCATTAAGAAGTTTATTACTCCAGCGATAGCTCGCCAGCATCTAGCCTTTCTGAGCTCATCACCACAATACAAAATCATACTATCATACGGTATCATAAGAATCATCATCACACCCCCAAAACCCCAAAAAACCCCTAATAGCCTTACTCCCCGATCCCCTTTAAAACTTTTCGATTATCATTCTCTAAAGCGCTCTCTCCTTATCCTTGAGTCCACCTTTCTCTCCCTCATATGAAGGGGGGCCAGCTTTCTCACTCACGCTTTGTCCATCATGAATTGGTTGATCTGCAACATGCATTTGTTCATCATTGACACTGAGCTTGTATTCCTCCTTATCGATATCTCTGTAGATCCAGTAGAAAGCACACATCATGATGAAACCGATGATGGTTGGCGCACCGAAATCCCAGGTGAGATATGGATCCTTGATGACACCGGCACAGGCAAGACCAACGAGGTAAGCAATAGCTTGGGTGAACAAGTTAAGAGCAGAAACAAGACCTCTCATGTTGGCTGGAGCACGAGAGTATGCAATACCGTAAGCGGGAACGTTGACGAAGAGTTCGGAAATACCACCCATGGCGTAAGGAACGGCCATCAACCAGACGGAAATGTTGGATACGAGAGAAACACCATCGGCATTAACACAGGTTTCGGAGGAACCGTATTTTCCGCAAGGTCCGGTCTTGTAGGCGTAGTAGTTGAGGAGGGTGTAGGCGGCACCTCCGCAAGTAGAAAGGAAGAATCCGGTGGTCATTCTGGCGATTGGTCCGTAGTGAATGTTGCGCTTTCTCAACAATGGGTAGAGACCGTAGTTGAGAATTGGTGCGACAATGATAATGGCGAGAGAGTTGAAGTTGTTCATGACATCGTTGGGGGCACCATCGGTAGCCAACATAGTTGAGAGAGCACTGGCGGAGCTACCAAGACCGTTATCGTTGATGTTTTGAATTGGGAAGAAACAGAAGATTCCGGCGGCTTCGAAAGTACGCTTGACATCCTCGATGAATGCATCGTTCCATGGTACATCGATAACGTTACCGGATTGGGCAATGACGGATGGCTTAGCGGCCTCAAAGAATCCTCCCTTGCGGGTAAAGATTTTTCTTAAGCCACCTCTCTTGAAACAGATACCAACAACACGGCAGACGTTGACAAGATCAGATCCTCCTGGTGGGTATAGGATAAGACGTTTGCGCATGAACCAGAGGAGAAATGGGAGAGGGACATAGAGAAGGAGTGGGAGGAGAAAGGACAACCACCATCCGATGTATTTTTCGGTGTAGGCAGTTGGCACACCCATGAATCCACCGAGGTTAACGAGAAGGTAAAACCAAAGCATGACACGCTCAGTGGTAGATTCGGGATCAACAATGACCACCTCACCAGATGGGAGAGTCTTCTTGACTGGAACGGCGTTTGGCATTTGATCGAGAAGGGTTGGCGCAATATTAGGTTTGAACATAGCTAGAAGAAGATTAGTGGATGATGCTAAAATTTATGACGTGGGGAAAACTCACCAGCACCAATAGACAAAGTGTAAACACTCAAAAAGAAGGGAGCTTTGGCAGCTCCGCTGGCCAACAAACTGGGAGCACCACTTGCACACATGAGAATGTGTGCAATACCACATACTGCTACACCCCAGCAAATAATCTTGAATCTACCAGTTTTGGTATCGGCGAGCCATCCAAAGAACAATGGAAGTGCATATGCAAGAAGAGAGAATGATTGAGATGTGGCTGTTGCTTTGACGGTACCGAGACCCAAAGCTCCGGCAGTTTGTTGAGTTCCTCTTGGTGGTGCACCATAGCCATCACCGCCGACTGGAAGTGGTCTGTTGACGAAGTTGTTGAACAAACCGTTGCAACCGCTATTAGTGAATTATATGTTAGCGAGTTAATTCAATTTAAATTGCAAACGTCATTCTAAAATTAAGGGAAACATACTAGTAAGAAGCTCGCTCAGCGAACTCGACAGCACAGATTAAGTAAGTAACACTGGGGAGTTTTCCAGCTACTTTTCGGAGGGTTTTCTTCTCCTCTTCAGTAGGAAGTAAATCTGGATCGATATGTTCGTGTCCTTGGCCTTGTGCATGGACTATTGCGGCTTCAGTTTCGAGGCCGACTTTAGGGTGATGCTCTCTTGAGACTGTGTGAATCAACGATCCTTTTTGGTCGAGAGCTAGGACGGCATCACTGCCTAGCATCGAGCCTTGGATATCGGCTGTGATATTTTCTTGAGCAACTATTCTTGAACGTCAGTAACCTGTAAAAAAAAATACCACCAAACAGGACATAATCGAGTAGAAAAAAGTACTTACCCATCTTTGCGAAGTTGATTTATCACAACAGGTAAAGAGAGTGGTCGTAGAAGTGCGACTAAAGAGCGAAACCACGAGGAGGGGAAACACGAGAATAAATATACCGCTGCCGTACCCATCGAATCCCAAGCTACACCATCTTAGTTCACCATGTTCCCCATTCACCACCCTAGCCCTCGACTAATTCGGAGAATCTCGCATGCTGCTCCCATGCGCTCCTAGCTAGCATGGGATCATATCCCTCCACTCCCATACGGGGACGCCATACCAATCAGCACCGTTATCAGCTGGTACGAGCTCTCACGATTGTGCTTTGTGAACTCATTCCAATGCTGATCCATTACGGAGATCGCCTAAATAGGAAGGTGTATAAGTGATATCGAACGCACGGAACAAATCATAGCAGGTATCAAATCGTTCTAGAAGATATAAACTCAGACCCCAGGTTCTGAATTGACCAGGCTACCTCCTTGTATGTGGCAAATATAGTCAGAGCAAGGCCAATCGGTAGCACACTTGTGTATTGTGTACGGATAGTTCTGTATTCACCCGATTATGGAAAGCTGTCGTGCATGCAGTGTAGACCCTAGAGCATCCAAAGACCAGCCCAGTCACCAGTACCACCTCAATTGCAGCACCCACAAGAATGACAAGTACAATTGCGAGGCCTTTCCCCTCCACGATATCCACCTTACCAGCCTCATCACACAATCATCTCCCCAATCTCAAATGTCACCCCCAAAACCCACCTTCAACCGTGGTCCTTCATCTCTATCAAAATTCATTAAACCAAATCATTCTCATTTGTCAAGCGAATTCATCACCAACAAATAATCATCTCCTCTTTACTCCACAATAGGAAGGTAACGTTACGCCAAGAGCTTGAGAGTGTTGCCAAGCAGAAAATCCGATAAGAAATTAGTCGCGCGAGCAGTAAACCAGACAGGAAGAGGGTCAGAGGCGAACAAAGCTTTTGGGGATCTCGGGTATCAGCGAACGGTGAACTCGGCTCACAATTCCCTCTCTACCACTGGACTGGAACAGAAACAATTCTATGCTAGACACCCGGGATAACCAGCTGGCAAAAGATGTTATGTCAAGAACGCGAGACCGAGAAGACTGGGCATACGAAATTGGAATGATGGAACTGCCTACAGCTCTTTTCACCTGCCAAAAAAAGGTTTAATTTGTTTACCGTGTTGACTTGGCAGTACTAGGTACAGGTAGAAGCCTATGTACCTATTCAAATGAGCCGCCCGTCTTTTCACACCTATCCAGTATGCCAGTCTTTACTTAATATTGCCGTTAGATCTAGCCAACAAGCATTTCCCTCCTCTTGGTATCAAGGTAAGGTCGTTTGATTTTGGTGGCGGGAAGCCATCCGGGGTCTGTCTTTTATCTTTCCTCCAAAATTATCGGGGATAGCTAGGGATTTGATAATAAGCAATTGAAGCACTAGATTTAAACATGAATGTCGTGATCGATGAGTGGATAGAATTATTTCATGGCGTTGGAGGCGTTTGAAATTGATACCCGATGGGGGTTTTAGACCGAGATGGGAGTACCATCCTCGTCACCTCGGTCCTTTTTGCAATTACGATAAGCAAAAACGAGATATGGTGAAATATTGGGAGATTGTGAGGATATTATCATTATTTATTGTGTTTGATTATTTGTGAATCTTTTAATGCAACTAACAATAGATACATAAGTACAAACTAGTCGCAAATTCCCAAGATGAAATACCACTCACGTGTCTCTATACTCTAAAGAGTGTAAAATCGCCTCCTCGTCTGTTCTTTCCATGTTATGGATGTGAATTGATAACCTTATATGATGAATGATATACGAGATAGAGAGAGGCGTAGGATGTAAGCTATTGATACATGATAAGAAATAGGTGGAGAACCCGAATCCCTCATCCGAGTCCGAGTTCATCCATACCATATCTCGATCTTTTCGATTCTCAAAGTCTCTCTCCTCTTTCCCCTCCCCTCCACATCACAATGATAATCATGATCACATCCCAAGATCCCAAGTAGGTACAATCTGCAAGCCCGAGGCGAAGCTTTCGAAGCTTCTTCCAAGAATTCTTGGAGACGAGCCACTTAGCAGCCAAATAAACTATAACGTTGCACTGATTTGCCAAGCGTCAAGATATGTGCGTAGTGACATACGATACGGGCCACAAGGTCAGAATCATCAACTCAAATCAGTAACCCAGGTTGGCGAAGGCTGAAAGCCTTATGCCTATTTCCCAGATACCAAAAGCTGGGTAAGAAACATATTGCTACCCGGCGCTTATTCCTGAAGCTGATAGTGAGTGACAAGCAACACAAGTATGAAGATACGGTAAGACATCTCGCAACGAACAGAAACCAATCATTCAAAAGACTTCTAGTGAAAAACACGAGTAATGTTATCAAGCCCTTCAATCAATCAAAACATTTCCATTCAAAAGCACCAGTAATCATCACATACTCGTGATGTATCTTTTAGGTTCTGACCTGCCGATGAAGGAATATGCCTATGCATGGCTAGGTCAGCATGGGGATATCGGTTAAATGAATGAGGAAACACCTCCGATGAGCGATACGAATTGAATTCCTTATCTCGACATCCATCTTCATTCAGACAGACCTCGGGAGTGTAAGCCAGCAAGCTGTTGGAATTTGGAATTTGGAACTTGGAACTTGGAAACATTGATTAGGATATTGAAAATCCCGGGTATCCTCGCTCAACATCGCTCTTCCACGGAATGAATTGGCCGAAATGCTGAATGCATTCTCACTATCTTGAATATTGAACCCACAAGAATCGATGAACTCGGAAAGTAATGATAAAGAGATACAATCCAATACGACAGATAGATGGACGTGATCATAATGATGTGCCTGCAGACTTGGCATTGAACTCATTATCTGGTAACTATTCCGAAATCCGAAGAGATGATATCAATTCATCTGCCTCTAGTATTCACTTGAATATCCATCCATTCATCCATTCATCCATCCATCATCCATCATCCATCGCATCCAGCTGTACGTCAACAAACTGTCAACTTCAACAATAAACACCTCATCTATCATACAGTACACAACAAATCAATGAAATCACAGAAATCAAGCAAAAAAATAAAAAATGTCAATATATAAGAGACAAGAAACATCTCAGGAGTCATTTATTATTCATCAATCATTATGAGTCAATCGGTCTATCTGTTACCATTATCTGCTTGTCTACCTAATACAATAAAAAGATAGGAAGCTACAACCATGCGTTTGATACTCGGTACTATACGAATATAAGATTACATACAAGACCTACAAATATCAACATATTGGTATGACAGTCGTTAGGACAGTAAGCAAATAAATTAGCAAACAATTAAGCAAGTAATAGAAATAAAGACACCTTTCTCAACTCCTCATCTCAAGTCTACAGATTCCAGACTATCAAATTAAGAACCGGGGTATTATTATTCTCGTTTATGTTTATGTTATAGGGAGGAAGTGCCTATTTACTAACTTACTTTCACATCCCTTTCTTCTAGTATCCAGTCATTATGTCTACTTCATCATTTTACTATATTTAGGTACTACGAATCATCTATCTCATGTCCATACAACTTCATGTTCATCGCAGTCATCTTTCCAGCCCTATTCGCTCCCAAGACTTCAATGCAAGTACATTTCTTCCAAAAGATTTATTCCATTTTTCAGAGAAAGCGTTTAGTGAGTATATGGTAGAATCTAGAGAAGTTATGATACTAGCGGCGACCTTTTGATAGAAATCATTCATATCGCCAGTATTAGATGGCTTGATCGTTGTGCCACTCTTGTATATGTGATCATCTTATTCTATGGTAAAAGATTTATATTCCCATGATGGCTTGGGCCTTTTCGCATCTCTAGAAAAGTTGAGAAAGCCAATTCCAACGCGGCGCGAGATCCCTTTACAAGTAGTGAGGCCAAGAAAGACACCCAGTGCCCTGGGGGGCTTGGTCACAGTATTGGTACACAATACCATCACCAATTCATTTATCGGCCCAATCAACATCCTATCATCAAACCGAAATTCGCCGCGATGAGTTGCAGATGTGGATAACAACTTGATCGATTGATCAGTACCAGCAGAAAGAACAAATTCTCGAGATCTCAAATATGGCGCAACAAACCTAAGTTGCCCGCATTCGAGTGTGGATCGGCGCGCTGCGAATGACTGATCGAGTAAATAGGGGAGATCAATTCCAATACAACTACCGAGAAACTGTTGGGTGGGTGAGAAACTATCCGGAAAGCGCCTCAAATTTCTGCGATAGTACTTGCCCGCGCTCTTCCACGCAGAATTTGACCATGTTTTCTCTGTCGAATTTCCAACCTGCCATTGAGGAATACACACATGGATCGGAACACCTTTGCGCGGGGCATGAGAGATGCTTCTTGATAGCCAAAGGCTCTCTGCAAATATAAATTCGATAGATCCAATCCAAGAAGCCCTACAATGACATCAATTAATAAGGGAACGGAACTAGATAATATGTTACATGGGAGGGATATATGAATACGTACCATGACCATGTCGAGAACTGCTTCACAGACATTCTAGCTTGAGTGGTTCTTACACGTTTCTGACATGTTTTCGATGGAAACCACAATATGGCTTGAGAAAAGATATCAGCTGGAATGGCTTGGGTCTGATGAATGCTCAAGTTGGACAGATTCTTTGGCCTGTTGAATCGATGAAAAATGCCTTCGAAGGCATCAAGCACGTCATTCGAATGTTTCAAGTTTCTCTGACTGTATTCCTGGACTGCCATTAGGTAGCTTTCGGCTTGCAGCTGCGCTTTGACATCCCCTAGGTAACGATAGGGAGTAGGATCGGGGTCTTTTCTGAGTCTCTTACTCCACCAAGGGGGCCCGGTGCGGACTTGAATTTCTTGAGATGACCTTTGCTCCATATAGTCGTATCCCTCCCTCCACTGTCTTTCGGGACATTGAAAAAAGAGTTCATTCGACGTGAAGTACAAACAGCGCTGCGACAAGCACTGCTCCTGGTATGTCCAACCACGAGTGTACCACTTGCCCTTTCGGACTTCCTCGCATAAGGATGGTAGGCAAAGAGAAAGCGTCAGCAACTTGCCATGATCGATAATCTCGTAAGGTTCTATAGGACTCTCAGGACGGTGACTCACTCCTCGCAGTCCCGCATGCGGATCGTCACCTACAGCTGCAATAAGGGTGAGCGTAGAACTATTGTAGATGTTGCCCATCGAGCTAACTAGTCGTGATTTGTCATCATGGTCATCTTGCACAATGCAAAGCGTGTCCACCCACAGGTATCGAATCCCAATCTTGCGTGTCAGTTCCATTGCGTCACGGACAGTACGAGGAACAATTCCATCCGGATGTCTATCTCTTCGCAGCGAGGATAAAGCACGTGGACAGTAAAGTGTGTCTAGATTTGTTTGAGTTGTGACAAGAATTGAGGCTTCTTTAGTATTCTCTTCCGCATTCAGAATAGTGTCAGAATTTCCCCATGTGTAAGATAACACTGTGTATTCACACCGTTCATTCCGATCTGACAGACATTCCTCTACTACATCGATCAACCGGAAGGGGTGTTGCCCATGGAAAAGTGTGTTGCTGGCCCTGCTTAGTGGCACCTTGGAATGCTCATGACTATTGCAATCAACCAACCATTTTTGCACTAAAGAAACATCCAAAGAGCTCGGAATATCACGTCGCCGGATGAAACTATCAGCGGAGTTGGGTAAGTGTTCAATTTCAGCAAAAATGAACCTGTCTTCGCATCGGTCAATCTCTCGTAGAGGAGGCCGATTGTTCCGCTGGCTTGAAGCTTGTTGGTCGCTTGCCAGCAATAACCGTGGTGCAGGATATTTTGTGCGACCATTTACTTTGAGTGTGAGAGGGCTCCGGCTCTGAATGAATAGTTGTGATGCTGTTTTGATAGCCGAGCGTGAATCTTCGCTCGAGTTGTTTCTCCAGGCCAAAGACGCTGCTCTGGAAATGAGCGCACAGAATGAACAGTCTTGACCTTTGTTGTAGTCATGAATAAAGCCAACGGCGATTTCATTGACTTCGTTTGCAAGCATCCTACTGGGATTGATCTTTTCGCAGAGTTGGCATAGCGGCTTGGTCGTACTCATGATGAAGTTACCCGTTCTTAGCAAGTCGCTTCGAGATGGTATTGTACCGTTAAAAGAGGAGAATATCCCTACCATCAAAATATATGAAACTAGACTGAAATTCTACGAGCGATGCAGAATATTTGGGGGCAGCCTTGTGTACGTTTTCTTCCAGGTTGACATTGTATCGTGGCGGATGGGGCTTGGCTGCTGTGCAGTAAGTTTGTTGATGAGGCAACATGTAGCCCATGCCTACACTACAAGAGTATTCACACCCAGCCGAACAATGCGAAGCTATGGTGTCTTTTTGAGGCAAATAGTGACAAAATTCAATTTTTCTGGTGTAGATTGCTAGTTTCAGGTGCAATTAGCCGGATACCCTTGTTGAACAACGATATTTTGCCACGTGTAGCCTCGTCACAACCCTTCATTCGAGCATTGAAGTGACGTTTGAACAACACGTTGTCTTCAGCCTCATTGCAACACAAGAGATATATGGCTTCACTTCATCTTTTGACGGGTTGAATCATACACAATTGTGTCTATGTGGATGAGCAATGGCCTCATCACAAGAGTCGCTCCCTATAAACGACCGGGAAAATCCTTACTTTGTCGAAGCATATCCGACACCCACTACCCCGTCCCAGTTCTTGTCTCTCCTGTCTGCATTCCCAACAACACCCACTCGGGAGCTGGTACAGCCATATTTATCATATGAGACTGGGCTACGAAAAGCTTTCGCTAGGCCACACGCCGTCGTGGGTGGACCGGACGATCTAATCTCGATCTACGATGGTCATGAGAGCTCATTCAGAATTCGGATTGCTGATCGCGAGACTACTGCTGCGGATAAATATATTATGCCCTTAAAGCGAAAGGAAGTATTAGGAGGACAGCCAGCGATTGCAGGCTCCTTTGCAAAATTCTGCGAGAACTTCGACGCCTTTACACACGGTCGGTCTTTCAATCCCTTCTACTTCATTGTGTATCTTCTAATAGAGACCTACTAAATACAGGTATCCTCCATGACATTAGTAAGTGAATCACCATAGTCCTGCTCTATTTCAGTCAGGGAAGCAATCGTTAAAGGATCAGTAGATTGGTCCAACATTGTTGTGGCTGGGTCAGCAGCACTTCTGCCATTATTGCCCCGTAGAAAGAAACGGTCTACAGCTAGTGCTGCGGTTGAGCGACCACTTGAAAACTATTTTGAGTAAGTCAGTCGATAGCCCGTTGGCCATATCGCCACCCGGTCTTAACAGCCTTTAGCAACATTGCAAAAGCCAGTGACATTGATATTTTCCTTTATGGAATTCACGACGAACAGGTAGCCATCCGGCGTATCTCTGAGATAGACGCTACAATCCGCAAGAACCAACGCATAATCGTGGGGGAAGGCTTATCACTCCATACCAAAAACGCCGTTACTTTTATTGCTCCGCGATACCCACACCGCCATGTGCAGGTAAGTTTCAATCGGGAAGGCAGACATCACTTTCAGCGATTCGTGTCACTCATGAGGAACATCGTTGAGAGTGGATTAGGTCATTTTACGACTATATGATTCGATCACTGAGATTTTGACTGGCTTTGATGTGGACTGTGCCTGTGTTGCTTTCGATGGCAAGAAAGTATACTCCAGTCCGCGAGGAATCACCGCCATCTCAACACGTACCAATACTGTTGATCTCACTCGCAGAAGTCCCTGTACGTGTCGTGTTTTCTCCAACTTGTGACTTACGGATTGAGGGATCCTTTTCATTACTAGTAACTCATACATCTCCATAGCATATGAGAATCGGCTGTTCAAATACCGCCAACACAAATTCGACGTCTTCTGGGAGTTGCTGGACCGATCGCAGATCCAGTCGCTTGATTTTGAGAAGACGAAGCCATGGCATTTCAAAGGTCTCGCTCGGCTCGTCATGTTTGAAAGGCTTCTCCAGACGGGATATAGCCGTCCATATTACATCCACAGGAATTTCAAGAGAGTCGATGGAGTGCGCGATCCGGCACTGGTGACCAAGAATCATTTTCATAGTAGCGGGTACACTAGCATTGAGATCCCGCACAGCGTGAGCTTTACCGCTGATAAGTACGTAGGCTTCTAACATGCCTCGACAGTTTCTCCTGCACGTTATTCTCTCACGTTATTCTCTCACATCTTATGTGGCATCATATATCTAACACTCAAGCACCATGCAGAGTCCGTAAATTTGTGAAAAAACACGCCAAGGAGCCGTTTACGTATGGTACGCTGAACGAGCTACTCTGTCAAAGGAGTACCGGATGGAGGAGCGGAGAGATATCTCCAACTCTCAAATTTATCAAGGAAGATTGCGGGAGACAAATGATTGGGAGTTTTTATCCGTCTACGGCAGATGATTGGTATGTCTATCTCTTGTATAGCGTTTATCTTTCGATGATTCTTCTTGTGTCTCATATCATAAATGTAGGACTCAAATGGCTTATGGTGGCTTGGCGGAGAATGAAGAGGAAGAAAGTGATGAGAACGAAGAATCCTCAAGCAGCGACCCCTCGTTACCAAGTTCGAGATCAGGAAGACGCCGTATTAAACGATGGGCCGGAAAGTGCGTGGCCCAGGCAAGGTATTTGAGAAGACACTGGAGGTCAAGCCTTGAGTCAAAGATCCGTGCAATAGCACACTCGACTTGAAATGGAAAATGTAAATGAATGGAATGAATACATCTTCAGAAAAAATAACGTACTATATACTCATTTATTCATTCATTCATATAATAAACAATATCTCCTTCTCTTCCCCACTCTTTCTTTCCTAAACTTCAATGCAAATCCAGATGCACAATTCAACTCCACTTCATCAATACCCAATCACTCACTCATCATTCCCCCTCCACTCTCCCCCAATCCTCTACTTCCTACTTCCTACTTCCTACTTCCTACCCCAAATCTCCCATCCCACACCCCACCCCTCACACACCCCTCCACAAACTCCCTCATTCCCCTCGCCCTCCCCCCAAGAACCGCCTCCAAATCTCCCCCCAACCAAGCCTCCTCCCCCCTCCTAACCGCACCATCAAGCTCCCCCAAAACCCCCGCCAGCCCCTCCTCCACCCCACCCTCCACCATCCCCTTAACAATCTCCTCTTCCCCCACAACCAAATGACGAATCTCCCTCCCTAACAATTCCGTCAGGAGCGCAGCAAGATCATCACAAGACCATAATTCTGCTCCTCTTAAAAACAATTCTTTCCCCACCAATCCCTGCTCAAACCCATCACTTCTCCACCCAATGAGTGCTTTACGCGCCACATTTGCGATATCCTCTACACTCACAAACGGGATTTTTCCTTCCCCCGTCGCTGAGATGATTCGATTCTCATCGCGAATGGTGTATAAATGATGCATATCCGAAATTTTTTCCATAAACCAACTTGGTTTCAATATCGTTCATTCCACTGCATTCAGGTCGGAACTCTTCGATTCTTCTTCAAGCGTCTGAAACTTCCTTCCCTTTTCCTTTATATATTCAGATATCTGAGATAAAATTGGTCCATCCCCAGAATGCAGTATACTCCCACTCAGAAATACAATTCTTCTTACTCCTCTCTTAATCACTCCATCGATAAACCTTTTCGCCAGAGGAAGTGCATCGAGAACAGGAGGAGCAATCATAAAAACCGCTTCGATTGAAATTTCGTTCGCGTCGCCGTCCCCCTCGGATGAGATAAAAGGATTATCATAACTACTCGTATCCAACCAGTCAAACTTAACTCCTTTCGTATTTGGTAGCGATACTGGAGATGATCCGGATCGAGATGCTACAAGAACGTTATGTCCATCGTCAGAGAGGAGAGGAGCGATTCGTCGGGCACCTTTCCTGTACCACCGAGAAGTAAAATAGTAGCCTTATTCGTCCCGCCATTCTTTACTCCAATATCAGTATCCTTGATCTCATTCCTGTCCATCTTTCCAAAATCAGCCTGTGGCGTCCTATCTATTTCTCCGCAATCCTTGAAAAATATCCTTGAATTCGATCAAAGAATTCGTGTATTCGGGATTTTATCCTCGATTGATAGAATGGTGGGGGAATCGAAGGAAGGTAAAACCTATCAAATACCCCAAGGGTTCATTTGGACGATCCGATTACCAGCATGATTCATGTCCACTCAAGACCCTGCGTATCTGCATGATTTTCACACCAATGTAATATCCATGACTTTAGTCACTTCAACTGCATACCCGAAGAAAGCCGGACCACGTTACCCCTCCATTATGGTGGCGAACTCCGGTCCTTCCGTAACTCGAACAATTTTGTTGGGAGTTTCGAATTTGGGTGGTGGGGTTGTCTTCAAAATTTACACACCCGAAAAAGTATATCTTCAAGCAAGAATAAATCTACACTATTGTCAATAAAGCTTCGTGAAGAAGAGGAAACGTGATCGATAAGGATCAAACTTACATGTGAATTCCCATTTGTTGTTGAACTTCTCTCCAATCAAATTTGCGTTCATATTGATGTTGCCTTCTCCAAAGAATTTCAAGTAATTCCAAGGCTCGATCAGCATGCTGTATGATTCTGATTAGCTGCAATTCAAAGACTTTATTCCTCATGATCTTTCCCATCATGCTCATACAAAATAAACTTACATAAAGTGCAATCCTAGTATCAGCCTTCAACTTCTTCCTCACAGTATCCTCTACCGCCCAATCATTAAAGATACTTGCTCCTGCTGCAAACAATCCATAATACAAACCCATCTCCAATCCATAACCCTCTGGTGTCTCAGCAGCAATGTCTAGAACCTGTGTAATTGCTTCTGAAACTTCTGGAGATGGCGGTTCTTCACCAACTGGATTAATAATGTGATGAATGAAAAGGATACATCCGTACATGCAAGCCTTCGTACTAGAGAATGCTTCAGCTTCGAGAGTTTCCGCGACAGTGAGTTTAGTATCGCGTGGTTGTCGTCGCCAATCGTTAGAAAGATCCCGGAGCATAGGCGAACAATTTTGCCACCACATTTGAACTTCATGTTTGATTCCAATGGCTTCTTGTTTAATGATAATTTGTTCTTCGACTGATGTTTCGACAAGGGAACGGCTGGATAGACGAGATAACTTGGCCATAAATATCATAAACACATGGAATTCTCCAGTCATAACACCGCCCGGGTCATAATACGGCCAATTCAAAGTTGGTTCTGCTGCTGAAGGTGAGTCGTCAATTTGCTTTGGACTTGTTGATAGTGTTGGGGCATCTTCAAGCCAATAATTCCCAGGCAATAAAGGACCTTGTCCTGCCCATAGAGAACCAGAAACATCAAGTAACGCAAAGAATCTCGTGAGGAAATCCGACTTTTTAGGACCTCCTCGATGTAAGATAAGATCTCGCGCACCCTTCAGGTGCTCCAACCATAATCCTCTATCTGAATGTGATATCTATCATATATAAGCCACGTGTATCATAATACAAGTAAATTGAGAAAAGGGGATTACCTCATAAACACATAGTAAAAGACAAGCACCCAATGTGGCATTTTGTTTCGCAACTGAATTGTCACATAATGCTGTGTTAAGTTCTCTCAAGGCCATGGAATAATGTTTGGTAGCCTTGACCTCATGCTGCTTGTCAGTCCTACTCATATGGCCTGCTGCCACTGCGATGATACTATGTAATAAAGCCGGACTGGTCGTTACAAAAGGTACCAGTTCTTCTTTGAAAGGATTCCCTTCATCATCATTTGCATATGCCAAGAATCTGGTGCAAAACCCCACAAAATGATGAATATAGGGCATAGTCGTTTTATCAATATTAGGGAATTCAATAACGAACGAATCTTTGGGAATACGTGTTTTACCAAGAGCAAGCTGTTGGGTGGTAGGCAAGGAACTGGTACTGGAGATTCCATGACCATGAGATGTCGTGGCGAGCATGTGAGCTGGAGGTGTACTCCATTTACAATCGCGTTGAAGGCGAATACAGCGACCACAATCGGGTTTCCCTTCATCACATTTCACTTTCCTTGCTCGACATGTTAAGCAACCTTGAACGCGTCAGAATTGAAGCCATGAGCCATATGGATGAGATTGATGATTGATGTGTAAAAGGAACGTGAACGGACCTGTTCTTGTTCGAGGTACAGGGGCTTTAATCCCCATTCCCGGAGCCATATTTACTTTGGTATTAGAGGCATTCAAATTCGTTTTCCCTTTGTACATATCAAGGAAGGGATGGCTGTAGTGTTGGGTGGACAGAGGATATAAAACGTTGAAGTTGTCGATGTTTTCCGATATCGAATGTTGTACTGAGTAGTTGATTTGTAAAAAGCAAAAAAGAGTCAATGCAACACGAACACAGTGTAGTGACTCGTGAGTAAAGTCCACTTTCTTGAGGTTGCAGTTTTGTGATGGCCTGTCGATCTATTAACAAGGTGTGTACAACCTGGCGCTTAAGCTTTACTTGAAGAAGATTAGGATGTATACGACAGAGCCACTTTTGAAGCTTTCAATACTTTTCATTGGTCAAGTCCGGTCCCGAGAATAAATAACACTCAATACTTCAATGTTTGGACATCCATTCGTACGAAGCTGAAAAAGATTCAAAAAAAGGAGTACCCCGTATAGTCCCTAGTAAATTGTAATCTATGTGAAAATTTGAAAAAGAGATTAATCATTGTTATGATATGGAATTGTATGGAAAATTCGTCTAATTGTAATGAACCCCTTCATTGCTCCATTGCTCCATTGCTCCATTGCTCCATTGCTCCATTGCTCCATTGCTCCATCGCTCCATCTCTTCCAGATTTACCGGTACACCACTTCCTAAATTCAAAATCTTTAAAGATAAACGTCTAGAGCCATCAAGATCTCTGATCCTTCGTCATAGACTCAATAATCTTTGACTTTGATATTGATCATGTGGGTTCCAACTTGATTTCTAAACTCCTGACGGGTCAACTATACTTTTCTCCAACATTATAGTTTCATCGATCAAACAATTGCTTTGTGATCATTGGTTCATTCTCCAATATTTCAAATTAGTGCGGGGTGATCAAACCCTGTAAAAATTCCTTTAGTTTGAGATAGTTGGGAATAGTTTGCGGCATTTCTACCTGCAAGAGTCTGAATCGAGAAGTTATATATGCCGGAAGGGAAGAAAGGAGGCCCGCGGGAAGATCTGGAAGTCTATGGAAGGTTGAAGATGGGGGATTTTGTTCATGGATGGATGGGTAAGGTAGATGTAGGATTCGAATCCTTATACTGTAAACCTTGTAGTTCGTTCATGTACCGGTACACGTTCATGTTCAATGGATCCAAAGATTGTCATTCCAGACGTATACGTAAATCAAATTAAAATCTAAACTACATCTTTAAATATATATGAGTACTCTGTAGAAATGCATCAACATGTAGAAATCATCATCATAACCCTGGAACACATGCCCATTTATGTCGACTTATCCAATCCTCTACTGCTCTCTGTAGAATCAGATCTGCCTGTGTTCAAATCATTATCTCTAATCTTTTGTAAGTCCGACCTCTCTCTTTCCAAATACTCTGCGCATTCAACTCTGCTCTTCGTCTCACTGATCCAAAAGATTGCAAGTGTAGGAACGAATATCAATGCTGCCACGAAAGGAAACGCTGCCCATTGACTGCCATTGCGATCAACAATAGCACTTGAAACAATAGGTCCGATCCATGCTGAACCTTTGGAGACAATACCCAAAAGACTGAAGAACAAATATTCTCTACCTTTAGGAACCAATTCTGCCATGAACGCTTGTCCATATGGAAATTGAGCACCGAGGGTGATTCCATATTGTGCTTGAAAGAGCCAAAACTCCCATTCGTTGTGGAAACCAAACTTGGTAGTCCAGAGACCTATCATTCCCCAAAGCGCAATGAGTACACAACCACAATTGCAAAACTGAAGCATGGTCTTGGTACGGATCTTGAGAGTCTCTTGAAGATAATAGGCACCGAAGACTCCGACTGTAGTTGAGCCACCTTGAACCATGATGAGATAGGTATTTTGTGTCGCGGAGAATTGAACGACTTGGGTTTGTGCGATTGAGACGAGTGTAAGTAATGTAGCGACTCCATCTGCCAATAAGAAAAATGCAATCAAGTAGTAAAAAGTTTGTCTCAACTTCCATACCTGCTTTGCGGCGAAATAGGTTTGCTTGAAACCAAAGGTAAGATAATTGTCACCCTTTGGTAGAGGTGGTCCCGGTCGCTTCTTTTCCCAGATAAACCATGGAATGGCAAGAATAATCCACCATCCAGTGGTGACCGCGACAGATACAGAGTATCCCCAATTGTTTTGTTGTGTAGAATCATTCGCACCAATTCCTGCTAAGGCTGCTAATGCTAAAGCTCCACAAATTGTGAATCCAACATTATTCCACCCATAACTGATATTCATAACCTTGGATCTTGCCATGGAGCACTTGTCTTCGTATTCTTTTTCGGTCAATGTGCCTTGTGCATAATCCTCCCTCGCTTTGTGAACTTCGGGAAGGTCGTGGGCAAGTTTGGGAAATATCGCGTTGAAGAAAACATAGGAAGACCACCAAGTCACACCTGGATAAGATATCAGACACTGTGTATTTCTGCGATACTATTGGAAACTTACTGCTGATAATGTAAAGAGCCATGGCGATTCTCCATTGATGTGCATATTTTACTCCCAAGAACCCGAATTCAAAGGCGAATGTGATGAGGGAAAAAATTCTAACAACCCAAGGATTCCAATTACCGAAATCCGCCAAACTTCCAATTGTGAGAAAAAGTACAGCTTGTGAAACGAAGGTCAATCCTGATGCTATCAACACCACCGATGTATATGCTTTTGTGCCTCCATTCCAGAAGACATGGCAGGGGGTATCATCGCCGCAAGGTGCGCTACCCAATGGCAAGATGTTTGGATTAAAGCCGGCTTGGTATATCAAGTTCTGAAAGAGAAGACTCGAGCTGAAGATCAATCGGTGTTAGTAGTCGCATGGTATCGAGGGGTGGTTGTACAAGATGGATGGATGGGCCGGTAAAGCTTACTATTGGAAAGAGCCAATTCCATTATTTCCTGCATAGTATGCATAATACGACCACAGTTCTTTCTTTGTCGCAGGTGGTCCTGTGTCTTTTTGATGTGCATGAAAGACGTTATTTGATGCCGCACTCCCTATTTCAGTCCCAACTATTCCATCTTCAGCGCTTTGATAAGAACCTGGAGCGGCCACAGCAGTGAAGGGTAACTTGTCAACGGTTTCATGCTCCGCAGCCGTCATGATGAAAGAGTTTGGATAAGGCTAAGACACAGAGGCTAATAAGAGAGAGTGGACATTGAAGAAGAGGAACCGGGAAAAGGCAGGAAGAAGTACGAAACTGAACCCGACAAACCTAGAAACTAGAATGGGCCCTGCAAATTTGAATCGCACATTGGCCACAACGGTGTATGCGGTTCTTGACAAAAATGGTTACAAGTTACGGAGTACAGAGTTCAAAGCTTTTCAATAATCTCACTGGCGTCCGATTGAAGGAACGGTACGCAAGCCTCTGAGTGTTTTCTTACCTACTTTGTATAAGTGTGCGGACTCGAGGCGGAGAGCAAAGGGCAGATGGCAGGGCAAGCCGACGATGTAACCGGAAATGGGTTGTTGAAGAAGCATTGATTTGCGCACTGGCTGGCTTTGATTGGATTTTCACTGGTTGATAAACATCGGCAGAACTCGTGAAGGAGTTCATTCTCTTCAAACCTTTTTTTCTTCCCTTGCTTCAATTTCCAGTGATGGCACCGATCCTTGTCGAGGACCCATCTTGCTCATTCTCGAGCCACTGTCGAGGGCCATTTTTGAAAGTGTGAGGTAAGGAAATGCCAGGATAACGGAAAGTCTAAATGAAAGTCTCTCCACTGCACCGAGTCCACTCGTTTGATGTTCTTCTCCGTGTGTGTAAGGCTAGATACCCGTAATCTAGCCCCGTGAGTGGAGTGAGTCAAGCCAGTAATCACATGTTTTTAGACTCCCGAGTCCCGAGACTCCGCAGGTAGTTACCGACTCGTGCTTTTTACCAGAACAGCGGGTAAACCGCCTAATGGATTATTAATAGCCGTTCATCATCCTGGATGAGAGAAACCTACCAGGGATGGTCGGTGGTATATATATATATATATATGTGTATACATATAAGCTCATTTATCCCAGTCTCCCAGAGTCGCATTTTCCCAGGGAAGGGAAAAAGGGACTCAAGGGGAGGGGATTACACCGTCATTATCCCCGTGATTCTATTCCACCTCAAGACCCAAATTAATGCCTGAGGGTCTAGGTATCCATTTTTAATCTTTTATACTTCTGGGGAATCGGTCAAAGCCATTCTGCCGTTTCGAAAGGGAAGGCGGTATCAAGACAACCTTTATTGCACTCCACCTTGCTCAAGTGGCTCTCGGTGGCTCGGTGGTCAAATGCAAACCTGGTATATCCTCCGTGCATAACTTTTATGAAACCCCATCTACCTGGCTTATTACTTCGTACCTCGTCTAATTTCTACCAAGGTAGCTGGAGGTAAATGTACTAAAAATACACCAAATTTACTAAATCCACCCCTCAGATCCTTTATTTGCTGTCCTCTCTCAATCGATTATCATTTCACTAATTTTCACCAAGCTTTTCACTAACTTTCACTAATTCGACATAAATGTCATCTCGAGTCATTTATGCTCGCCTATCTCCGATTTTACCTCCCCACACGACTCACACTGATCAAGTCCTTCTCCGAAAGCCCCTCATTTTGAGCGATTTCATCCAATCATACGCTTCCAAATGACATATTCATTATTAATGCCATCTTCCATAATTTCTCGCCCACGCACGCCCACCGTTCACGCTCTCACAATTCCTTGGATTTGATGTACAGACTCGCGAATAGAGTCTAGAGTACGTACCATCACCACTCACAATTGTCACAATTGATCACTACTGATCACTACTGCTCACTACTGCTCACTACTGTCCCTTCCTGTCCCTTCCTGTCATAATGTCATCCACGTCGGAAAGATAAAGGAATCAACCTGGAATGCCATCCTTTCTCTAAATACCTATCTGCGTCGCATATCTTGCAGATTACTATAAAGTCCACGTGGTACTGGAGCTGCCGAGCTGCCTTATATGTGAACTTATCTCAAAGTTCCCACTCCCCGTTGGGTCATCACTCGCTCGCCTTACGCCTACATACCAAAAAAGGATATCCTTACTTTTGTAGGCGAGGAGAGAAGACTATTATGTACGCAAATGATTGATATAATAAACCTCTAATTTTGATCATGTATGTTCATCTTTATTATGTGAAGAAGTTCTCATCATCTATTGCTACCTTTTGTTCCTTTTGACAATTTATCCATTATACCCTTTTCATTGTTTTTTTGTTGGCAAGATATTTTTGTTATAAACTCGTGATACCCAATCCCGTTTTCGACCTCGTCTACGACTAAAAACTACGAACAACGAACATCGACATCGACAGCGATATCGATTTCTATCCTTTCAGCATCCAGAATTGGGCGGATATTGGCAAGATGCCTTCCAGAATATCTTCTCGTGTCATTGGAATTGACGTTGGAGGAACCAATACAGTGGGTGACGACTGAAGTACACTCCCATTAACATCTACTGATGATTGATTGTAGGATGCAGTTATCTTACAGAATGATAATGTATTAGCATGGCATAAGACACCAACAACCCCAGATATTCAAGATGGTGTTGAACAAGCAATTGCTGCTGTCATAAAAAATGCTCAAATCTCGAAGGATAGTATAGATTTCATCAAGATTGGGACGACAGTAAGTTAATCTTGTCTTCAACCCTTACTTTCTCCTTCCCGCTTCCTATTTCCCTTCCTTACCATAGGTCTCGTATTGAGAATCATGGGTATTAACATTCGATTCCTCCTACGTTCCGAAGTCTCCCCAGCAAAAAGTCTCATATTGGTCCTTGGATCATACTTGTTTTTGACTCTATTCTTTCCCCATCTTTCTCATCGTTTACATTGTGGTTCATAGTCAAGCTCTAATCCTTTTCCCTTTGTAGCAATTTGTGAATGCAGTCCTCGAACAAAATGCTTCTAAATTAGATAAAGTGGCCGTTATAAGGTTATGCGGTCCTTACTCGAGGGGCTCACCACCATTCGGCACGTTACATTTCGACCACTCCATTAAATAAAACATGATCTAACACTTATGATCTCAGTTGGTTTCCCTGCATCATTAAGGCAGTTAATGGAAGGTCACTATGGCTATGTGGATGGTGGCCTACAAGGTATGTTTGCTAAATATCTTCAAATTCTCACATAAATGCTAATACATTCAAGTTGACGGAACCCCGATATCCGAAGTAAACGTTCAACAACTCAGAGAACAAGCTTCAATTATCAGATCAAGATCAATATCAAGTGTTGTGGTTATTGGAATATACTCTCCATCCAACCCAGCTCAAGAGGAGTTTGCTCGACAGATCCTCGCTGAAGAATTAGGCTCGGAGTATGATATATCATGTTCATATACCATTGGAAGATTAGGATTTCTTGAGCGTGAGAATGCTAGCATTTTAAACGCCAGTTTGAGACGATTTGCCCGTCATGTCATTGCCGGCTTTGCACATGCGGTGCATGACCTTAAAAACGCCAGCTTATATATTACACTAAATGATGGAACTTTAAGTAAAGCATCAATAGCTGCAGAGCATCCAGTGAGATGCTTTTCCTCCGGTCCAACAAATAGTGCCAGGGGCGCGGCACTTCTGGCAAAGAACGAATGTATGGATCTTGAGGGCGATAGCGAAGTTCTAGTGGTGGATGTTGGAGGGTAAGAACCTTCTCCTTTAACCATTCTCGGCAATGATATTGACACATTATAGCACTACCACTGATATTTGCGCTCTTCTCAAATCCGGTTACCCAAGACAATCTGCTGCCTTTGTGAAAATCGCAGGGGTTAGGACCAATTTCACTATTCCCGATGTTTATAGCATTGCCTTGGGTGGAGGGTCACTCATTCGCACAACGTCTTCAGGGAAAACAACAGTTGGTCCAGATTCTGTTGGTCCCAAATTAGAAATGGAGAGTATCGCATTTGGTGGAAAAACTTTGACTGTATGATTTACCCTTTTGAGCTCCAAGGAAGAAACTTACATGTTTAGGCTACTGATCTTGTATTGTCGAACGAGAGAACCGATATCATTCCGGACGAACTCAGAATCGGTGGACATTCTGAAATTCAACGGGCTTTGGAAGATGCGATTGATCAAGTGAAAACAAAACAAGGATATGCTACAGTTATTCTTGTAGGCGGAGGTAGCATAATTGTAGGGAAGGATATTGCCGGGGTAGGAGAAGTAATCAGACCAAAATATTTGGAAGTCGCAAATGCAGTTGGAGCTGCTGTAAGTTGAATTATGTCCTTCATCCCTGGGAATGGAATTAATTTGAATGTGTAGATTGGGAAAATTAGCGGGCATGTTGATACTGTCGTTACACCCGGGGAAAGGACCATAGAAGAAGAAATTGAGGAGGCAAAACTACTGGCAATTCGAAGATGTGTCGCTGCGGGCGGCGACGAAAAAACTATCGAAGTTGTGGAAGTCGATACACTACCTATTAATTATGTTACAAATGGATCTACGCAGTTGGTCGTTCGAGTGGTTGGTGATTTACGCAATACCGGAGAAAAAGTTCAAGATCTTGAGACGATGCCAATAACGATGTCGACATTCAAACCTAGGAGAGCAGATTCTGGATATAGTGCAAGTGGCTTGGATAGTCCTGTGGATACGAAAGCTTCAACCTACGATATTCTTGAGCATGTTGATCTAGAATCCTATCGTCCACGCATCGAAGGTGATATATGGCATCTTTCGGAAATCGATCTCAAATTCCTTATGGATGGTACAGGAGTATTGGGCGTAGGGAGTTGTGGTGAACCATATCCAAGTTATATTGCTTGTTTGATTGCTTTAGAGAGTGGTGAAGGGCTGAGGATTCGAAGACAAGATACTCTTCCTGATGATGCATTAATTATGTCAGCAGGATTTATGGTATGTTGATTTGGTAATCTTTCGATGTCAACTTACTGATAATTCTAGGGTTCACCAACTGTATACCTGGAACGTATACCCGGTTTGAACGAGTGAGTCACCTTTCGATGTCTACAACTCACCAATTTGTATGCTGACAATTGTTCTAGAATTACCGATACAGTCAAAGCTCTTATGTCAGCCACAGGACATTCCTCATTCGATGCAACTATACCTAACGAAATCGGTGGGATGAATTCTTTTGAAGCCCTTCTCACTGGTCATCGATTCGGAAAACCTACTCTCGACAGCGATTGTGTAGCACGAGCATATCCTATGGTTTGGCAGACAGTCAGATGTTTAAATGGTGTTTCAGTTACTCCAGCTGCTGTTGCCAATGGATGTGGGGGAACGGAAGTTTTCGTAGATTCAAAGGATGCCGAAGAAGCAGAACTTCTCATGCGGGATGCATGCACGAAACAAGGTTCATTGTCAGGAATGGTGGTCAATCCAATACGTGGCGAAGAAGCAAGAACACTGCCTTCGAATAGTTATTCATGGGCTTGGCAAATCGGTCGTTCAATTGCAATCGCTCGCTCCAAGAAAGTTGACCCGGTCAAAGATCTCATGCGAACACAAAATGGCACTAAATTATTCACCGGTAAAGTCGTGAGTCTTACGAGAAAGGTAGCAGAAGGTTTTACTCGAGGTAGTGTCTTGTTGGATCAAATTACTTCTTCTACATCAACCACCTCTACTGGTGAAAAAGTTACCTCATCACTATATGTCGAATTCGAGAACGAAAATCTTTGCGCTATCTTAAAGACTCCCGGGAAAAAAGATGAGGTTTTGGCAGTGTGTCCGGATTTAATCGTTGTGCTGGACATGGCAAATGGAGCACCACTAGGAATTTCGGATTATAAATACGGACTCAGAGTAAGCGTCATCGCATTAAAGGCACCAGAGGTCTGGACCACAGAGGAAGGATTGAAAATGGGAGGACCAAGAGCTTTTGGTTTGGATATGGATTATGTTGGTGTGTGTGCGGAAAGTCAATATGAAGCTCCGAAAAGTGTTTGGGAACTCTTTGGGGATAAGGTGTAAAGGAAAGCTTGAAAGCTGAGATTACCTTGAGGGTAATGGGGTTTATTTTTTGGAAGGGGGAGAAGCATGGACGGAAGTAATGGATGAGACGGCCTGGGAATTGAGAGATCCGAGACGAAGTAATTACAGAGATATCCCTATTTGTTTTTGATGTTTCTCACGTTAGTTTTGTCATGAATGGAAACTTTTTATTCCATCCATTTCCAGATCTTTCTCTATCATGGAATATATTTTCTTTGGGTGAGAAGTTGACTACCTTGTATTTTCTTAAAATGTAGTTGCAAGTGGGAGATACATGTGTATATGTATATATGTATTTGAGAGGGGACAAGAATAAGAAGGAGAGAAGAGTCAATACAAACAAGATTCTATAAGACTCATATAGAGTTCCGTATACGAATGAATATGTTGGAAATCAAATGGAATACTAAATACTGTATTTTTTCTTGTTTTTTTTTTCGGATTGCTTTTAAGAGGGGGAAGAAGGGGGGGGGTGAGGAGGCTGAAAATATGAAAGTATGAACGGTGAGTTTTTGCGTGAGATTGTGAGATTGTGAGGTTGTAGGAGCTTGAGCTTGAGATTGAGATTGAAATTGTAGTTGTATGGGGTTTGAATGTTTTGAATGTGGTGTGGTATATGGTATGTGATGTGGTATATGGTATGTGGTATATGATATGTGACGTCAAGTGCAAGGTGGGAATATTGCGGATTGTCTAGGTGAAGGAGTTTAGAGCTAAGAGTTGATAGTTGGTTGATGATTTGTTTATTTATTTATTTATTTATTTATTGAGTGGTTTTGGGGGTTGGTAGTTGGTTAATGTGTAGGTTGATGTATATAAAGGTTTGTAGAGAGATATAGAGATATAGAGATATAGAGATATAGAGATATAGAGATATAGAGATATAGAGATATAGAGATATAGAGATATAGAGATTGTAAACAAGTAAATAGATATCTAAATATCTCATCCGCAATTCTCCAACATATCAAAATATAAATATCTTTACAAAATACCTCTTCCCTTTCTCTTTCCTTTATCATATCCCATCTCTATCTCTATATACATTTCTCTCTATATACATTTCCCCCAATCCAGAAAAAAATCTATTCATCAATCAATCAATCAATCGATTAATAAGCTCCTCAGCCGAATCCAAAACCCATCCTTCCTTTCTTCTCTTCCATACCCCCCCTCCCCCCCCCCCTCCTTCCACATAAACGTCCACATTCCCAAAACTTTATTTCTCCCTACCCACCTAATATCCTACCTACCCTCCCGGTGAGAGTGGACAACACACGCACTCTAGGTTTTTCTCTCGGCAGCCAAGAATGCACAAGTGTGGACGGGAGAAATATATGTCATCATCCGAATCTCCCTGAGTATTCCCGAGCGGTGAGGGTATCGAGGCGAGGCGGATGGATGAGATGGGATGTGATGTGATGTGAGGTCGAAACTTTCGGGAGGGTTGGTTGTGTGGGTGGAGATATGGATGGATGGATGGAGGTGTGTAGGTGATATGGTGGACGTGTGAAGGTGATGGGGTTGAAGATTTTTCTTATACCTAGATTTACGGTATCATATCCACCTGGGTAGGTGGGTAGGGTGGGTTGGGTAGAGGGGGAGAGAGGGCATGGAGAGAGGGTATACGATATACGTTATTGTAGGTACAGATAGTAGGTTACCCTTTTCAAAAACTATTCCTGAGTCGGATTGATTTTTTGGTTGATGGGAGGGAGAGGTTAGGGATATGTCAGGAGGTATAGATGAATAGATGGATAAGTAGGTACATAATCATCAAGATAACTTGTTTTATCAGTGAATGGTTTATATAAGTGAATAAATCATTTCGAAAATTATTTAAATCAAGCTTCTTAAAATATTAATATATTAATAATTAAAATTTTTTTTTGAATAAAAGATTTTAAAAAATAATTAAAATATAGATTTTTTATTAATTTAATTTTTTTAAAATAATTTTATTATTTTCTAAAAAAGAAAGGAAATTGTTATGATTTTTATTATAAAAAACTATTTTTATAATAATAATTTTATAAATTCGAATTTCTTAAAACTAATTAGATTTTTAAATTTTTTATATATTTAAATATTTTGTATTAAATTTTTAGAAAATTATATTTCTAAATAAAAAAAGTGTATAATTATATATAAACGAATTTTGTATGTAAAATAAGTGATCTATTTATTAATATAAATTACTTATTAATAAAATATATTATATTAAATACATAATATAATTCATATACGAGTGAATCATATCATCAAATGAATCACTTGAAAATGCACCAAAATTAGTCATTTTTAATATTCCTATTTTAATAACTAATTATTATATTTTAAAAAAATATATAAAATAATAATAAAAATGAAATATATTTCTAATTTCTTTATAACGTGTTTTATCAGTGTACAGCTCATATCACCATGCAGCCCACTTTCACTCCAATTCACCCTCTTCTCTTTTAATACACATTTTATCAATAATCTATAATGAATTTGAATAATCAAAAAGCTTATATACTCCTTATTATTAAAACTATTCAAAAAGATAAAAAAACAAGTATATAAAAGATTATAAAGATATATAATATCCTATATACAATATTACAATATTGAATTAATAGTATTATTTCTTATTTAAAATATCGATCTATATCTTATAATCTTTTAGAAATAAAAGAGAATATTATTTCTAAATATATATTTGATATAAATATAAGAGATTTTTCATTTAAATTTAGAAATATAAAAGATATAGCAAATTATATTCTTGAATTAAAAGGTATAAAGTGTATTGGAAAGCTTTGAGCATATTAATTTGTAAAATATTAAATTGAATTAAAGATATATTTTAATTATATTTATGATTTTCAAAGAACTTTTTATAAAAATCCTAAGCTTATTAAAAACTGATTTCAATTAATTACGAATATATAAGCAAAATATAATATTTTGAATAGAGATTTCTATAATTTCAATAAAAAAGAATTTATAATAAGAATTATATGCCCTGAAATGATTATAATTAGTATTAAATAAAATAATATAATCAGATAATAGAAAATAAGCTATAGTAATTATATATAATAATAAAAATAATAAAATTATATCTCTATTTCTAATAATTTCAGAATAAATTTATCTTTCTAATTAATATACTGAAACCGATTTTCCTATAGATTGAATTATTAAACCTATATTTAATAAATGAATAAATAATGAGACAAATTTAGAATACTTGAAATACTTTAATAAGTATATTAAGAATTGAAGAAAAAACAAATATCGAATATTAATACTAAATAGACATAAAAACTATAAATTAATATTATTTTAGAACTATTATAAAAAAAAAAGTATATATATTTATCATTAACGTGGTTTATTAGTGAGTAGGTTATATCAATAAACAAATCATTTCGAAAACTATTTAAATCAAGCTTTTTAAAATATTAATATTTTAATAACTAATCATTATTTTCTTAAATAAAAGATTTTAAAAAATAATTAAAATTTAGGTTTTTTATTGATCTAATTTTTATAAAATAATTTTATTATACCCTAAAAAGAAAAGGAAATTGTCACGATTTTCGTTACAAAAAATCTATTTTTATAATAACAGTTTTATAAATTCAAATTTCCTAAAACTAATAAGATTTTTAATATTCTTATATATTGAAATATTTTATATTAAATTTTTAGAAAATTATATTTATAAATAAAGAAAATACATAGTTACACACAAACGAATTTTGTATATAAAATAAGTAACCTATTTACTGATATAAACCACTCACTGATAAACTACGTTATATTTAAATCATTTAATTTAATTATTTAATATAGATTATTTTAGTAATTTGAAATATTTATATAATATTCAAATTAATGGATTTATTAAAGTATATATTAATTATATTTCGAAAATTGAATTTTTTATAATTTTCAAAATTGTATATCAAGAATGAATTATAATTTAGAATATGAAATTAGAGTTTTAAAGAATAGATTTAATACCTTTTAATTTTGAAACTATATTTTCAAAATTGAATATTCGAATTTATATATCTACTCCCCCCTTTTTCAATTAAGATTTATAGATTTCTTAAATCCCTTATAATTCAATAAAAACTTTTTTATAATCAATTTTAATAAAATCTTAAATAATTTATTATTAATTAAGTTCTTTTATATCTATATTCGAAATTATATTAACTTTAGTTAAAGATATAAAAAAATTAGTTTACAAAAATATACTTTTGAATATAAAAATTCATATATTTCAAAAATAAATAAAATATTAAATGAATATTAATATATAAAAAAACTTAATTATATTAAAAAGAAATATTTATTAAATAAAAGATTTTTAATATATTATTTCAATAAAAGATTAATATTTAGATTTAATATAATAAATATTAAAAAAAAAGGAATTCTAATAAAAAAGTATTTTTTAATTAATATTATAATAAATATAAAAAGACTAAATATAGTATAAGAATTTATCAAAATAATATAATAAATCCTAGATTATTAGAATTTTAAAAGTTTTAATTAATTGATTTAATAATTATAGAAAAATATAAGTTTAAAAGTATATATTGGGGTGAAAGTGGGCCGCATAATGATATGAGCTGTGCACTGATAAAACACGTTAGATATTTTGATTATAGCTCAAAATTGTTATACTTTGCGTTACAAAAACCTTCTTTTTCAAATAACTTTTATGTTAATTAGAATTTTGAAATAAAAATTAGATTTTTACATTATTTATATAATTAAATATTAGTTATATTGATAAATAAAGAAAGTGCATGGTTACGCATAGACGAATTTTGTATATAAAATAAAGTGATCCACTTGATGATATGATCCACTCGCATATGAATCACGTTACATATTCGAATCTTCAATTTCGTAATATTGTGTGTACATTATATCTCCTATGCACATCCATCAAATTCCTTAATCCGAACCCAAGAAAACAATTTAAGTAATACATACATACATAACCATACAATATATCCGCGCATTATCCCACCTCTTCCATCCACACTCCCTCTCTCTACCTACGAGTCTACAACCAATCATACCCAAACCCAACCCATGCACCCTCCGTCCACAAAATAAAGTAAGATTACAAGATGGGGAACCAGTGCGGGGATGTGGGGATCTGGAGAGTGGACGACAGGACCACCAATTCCGTATCGAGAAACCCATCCGTCCCGTATTTATTCACTGCCATTGATTACCCATCCTGTGAGAAATCTTACCGGCCGGCGTGGCACATCTTGTTCTCCGATTTCATTCCATTCGATATGATTTGTCGTGATGTGATGTGATCAGATTTGATTAGGTACCCAGGTATCCATCATGCAAATAGCTGATCATTACGCCTTCCGATTTCTCTGATTGGAAACTCCACTTCGATATAGTACTAGATACTAATACCAAGATCTGAAAAGGTGGAAGGAAAACCACTAAAAGCCCATTCATCTGACAACCAAACAACCACGTTCCCAGCGCGTCCACTATGCGAAAAATGGGATGTCATGGAATGAACAAGCTAGCAATTCTTTCTTCAAGCAAGTTAGCAAGTTGTGGATGCAGAGTATGGGGATGAGAAAATCTGGGGATGTCAGCTGCGTGGTTCTTCGTGTGTACAGTACATGTCTGGCTAGGTATGCGATGGAGAGGAAGGGTAGGGTCGTCGTGTTTGCTAGCTAGGAGATGGGCAGCACTTGGAGAGGAAATTCGGAATACGTAAATGAGGTGGACGCTTCAGGGGGGGTTCCTGGGTGGTGGAGGAGCGTTGCACTTGGCTTTGATGATGGGGGGTTTTAATTTTGGTGGTACCTGGATTCTTGGGAGAGGTGCTGGTGCTGGTGCTGGTGCTAGGACCCGCGCCCGAGGCTTGGACATGTCATGACGGGGCGATCAAAGAGTTGAGATGGATGGAGATGGATGAGATGAACGGTTATATAAAGAGGAGTGGTTGAACCCTTAGAGTTTCTTTTTTCTAAGTTCTCAGTGCTAAGTTTGAAGTTCTAATAGACTTGGAGTTGTGAATTGTGAATTGTGAAGAAGATTGTTTATATATCCTCTTCTTTAATACTTAATTCTCTCGCGTTTTCCCCCCCTTCCTCTGGAGTTGGAAAATTAACAGAACAGAAGAACTTTTCTTCTCTTTCTCATACCACACATCTACACATCACACATCCAACCACCAAAATGAGGAATCCCCTCCTATCCACCCTCCTCCTCGGCTCATCCCTCCTAGGAGCCGCAACATGTCTCAACACGACCATATCCAATTCCTTCGTCAACATGTTTTCCACAGACGGTGATCTCATCGATTCCACCTCCGGCAAGATCGATTATTTCGAAGGCCGATTTCTGTGGTACGGCTTAAACTTCGGTTGCGGTGAAGCTTTCTGCGGAATCGAGAGTTGGAGTTCGCTGGATTTAGTCACGGTATGTTTATTTTTTCACATCTGCTATGTAGTGAGCTTCACAGCTTGCTGAAAACCCCAACTCTTTACTTGAAAAATCATGGGATGAGTTGTATTGGAGTACTAATCTGATACCTCACAGTGGTCCTCTAATGGTCTCCTCTTCGACCCCAAAGAAAATGCCACGGCCACCATCTGCGAAGCATCCGGCGATTGTGGAAGACCACACATGCTCTATGATTCCACTCGTTCCCTTTACATCCTCTGGGTCAACGCCGGTGTCCCTGGCTACGTGATTTTCACATCCTCTTCTCCCACCTCCGGATTCGTGCCTGAATCCTCCCGTGCTCTCGTGGGATACCAACCTGATCCCACCACCCATCAAGCGGGCGATTTCTCCGTCGCCATGATCAACGGAACGGGTTATATCGCCTATTCAATCATTGATTTTACCACTCTCGGAGCCTCCATCTGGCCTCCATTCAAACAGTCCATCTACATCCAGCAACTGACCAGCGATTTCATGAACACGACTGGAAACGCAACACAGGTTCTCCCCGTAGGAGATCTCGTGGACTTCCAAGCCGAGTCTCCGGATATCTTTTTCCGCGATGGTTATTACTACATCTCCGCATCCAACACGTGTGGTTTCTGTCAAGGAACAATTTTGATCATGTACCGCGCCACCGACATCTCCGGTCCATGGACTCGCCAAATCATCAGCAGCGATACATGCGGTGGACAAACCACCGGTGTTTTGACCATTCCCTCCCCCACCGGCGGTGACGCAGTATATGTCCACCAAGCCGATATCCAAGCCAGCGCTCCCCTTGCCGGACCCCGAAACGCACAACACGGTCATCAATTCCAAGTTCTCAACTTCAACTCCGACGGTTCGATTCAAGACTTGGATTGTTCCGCCTCCCTCAGCAGCACCATCGCTCTCCCATCCACAAACAGCAGTACCTCCATCAACGGACTAGCCAAGAGCGCCCCCCTCGGTTCCGGAAACGAACACCAAGACTACTACCTCAACTGTTCGCTCCCCCAATACGCACTCTACCAAACCTTCTCCACCCCACAATCCGGAAACCTCACAAGCGTCAGCATCAACCTCGCAGGCGACGCCCCAACCGACAACGTGACCCTCACCATCTTCCGCTTCTCCAACACCACCGCGCTCTTCTCCCCTTTCTACCAATGGGAAACCCTCTCCACCATTGACGTCACACCCTCCGAACTAAGCGCCGCCGTGCTCGCCATTTCCATCCCCATCGGACACGAAGTGTCCGCAGGCGACAATATCGGCATCGCCATCACCAGTTTGGGAATCACACCCGTATGTGTCGCGATGCGTGGGACAGCCAGCGAATACGCGACTGCGTGGGCGGGATCTGCGAATGGAGGGTTTATCCCCGCACAGAATGTAGGAGAGAAGACAGCTGACACGGGATCGGGCGCGGTTTTGTATGCGCAGGGTGCGAACCAGGTTAGTTTTAGAGGAAAAAATGGGAATGAGGTTCCGATTTTGGAGGTGAGTGGGAGAGAACTCAAATGGTATGCGATTGTTGAATAGATGTATGGGGAAAATATAGTTTTTATGTATAATGAGATATTGGTAATGAAATTTATGAATATAAAGTAAATTAAATCTTGACTTTTGCTTTTCCGGTGAAGTGACCCCTTTCAACCTATGGATCTTTCTTTTCTGAATATTGGTACGACGAGTAAATTAGCCTAAAGGATGGAAGAGGAAAATTACAACGACTTCGTAGATGCTCAATAGTATCGCGATACGTTACTTGAATTTTGGGGTTGGGCCTATTGAGCTTGGAGCGATCATATATGACCATATACATAGAATATATCCAAGTCCTGTAGAAGAGAAAAGAAATGCAGAAACCCCATCAAGGAATATGTGTAATGTCGATCATGAAGGTACACAAGCATGATCAGACCTAGAGATACAAAACAAATACTATAATCTCCTACGGTATATCATATATTCTGTGCTAAGCAGCTTTCATACACGGGAAACATCTCTCTCTTCTCCAAAACATCTGCCAAGGTGAACATTTGTTGGATACCTGTCTTATCTCCCAGAACTCGACATCTACCAATAATCCAATCCCGCTGAATGTTTGAAGTTGTCATCCGACCTGAATTAAGTAGAGGCCAAAGAAGAAAATAAGTACCAGCAATATGAGGAACGACACTAGTAGATGGCGGACTTGTGATGAAGTTTTGATCAGGTGAGCCACTAAATCCTGACGGAGTATGTACTTTGGGATCATCACCATAGTATTGAGGTAGGGATGCACAAATGTCATCAATCATTTGTTGTAAAGTTCTAAACCAGAGACAATAATCCATACTGGCAACGGGAAATATGAACTGTCCTTTTTTAAATTGTTTACCAATTTCTTCATAAATGAATATTCGACAGGTGCGAAGATGATTCCAAATTTGAGTAACCCAGAGGTCTGAGTATACATGATAATATGTACCGAATATCGTACCTGATGTAGATATGATTGGAATCGAATTGTAATACCATTGAGGTGATCTGAACATCTCACTCGCAAGAGACAAAAACTTTATGTCCAAGTCTATAGCTGCTCTAATTATGGAAGAACTTTCATGAAGTATACCATCCTTTATATCAGCACGAAACGTGGTCAATTCCACAACCAGGCCGTTCAACTTCCAGGCTGGATCATCTACATCTAGGAAACTCGCAGCGTGTTTCTGTAACTCAATCAGATCATCAGGAACCCGAAATGAATGCCAGATACAACTTTGTAGAAGAATGGAATTCATTTGAAGAAACAATTGAAGTCCATGTCGAGTCTCCATTTGACGAAAGCCACGTAATTTTATCATGGATGTAGCACCAGATATATGCCTATCACAATCCACCAAGGCATCTAAATTTTGACAGGTCAGTACTCCAAATGTATTGAACAGAACCACGGATATGATAGTGTAATCCTTGGTGGCCTCTTCGATGGATGACAATGCTGTATTAACAAGATGGAGTGCGTAACCAAAGTATTGAGTTGCTTTCTTAAGAAGAAACGGATATTTGAAAGCATAAGCATATGCAGCCAAAGAAACTGCAGTGATGGTTGTGTAGAGTGTATGGTTTATATTGGGATCGTTGCGATGAAAGAATAGATACTCATAATATCCTTTGACAGGACCAGAGTCCTGAAATATGTGAGTAGATAAAAAGAAGTCGATTGCACGATCATTGATAGTGTTTGAGATTTCTTTTGGAAGAACGATAGGTGGTGGTTGAGACTTGAACGCGAGTGGACCTAATTCAGGAGTGTCAATGATGGCTGCTGAAAACGTAGGCGACATTTTTGCTAAAGAATAGAAAGTTGTGTACCTGATATGATACAGGAAGCCCTTTCTTTAGCTTTCAGAGCTTCATTATGTGCAGATCTTTCGAAATCTCTCACATCTGAGTACTGAAACATTCTTTCCAAAGAATCTCCATATTGTGGACACTTCCAGCCAGCCTTTAAACATTGATTACAAGCTGGCATCACTTCGTCACACTGAAGTTGTGGTCAGGAATGTATCGAATCTCTCGGGAAACATCCAGACAACCAACCTTGATCTTCCGTTTCCTACAAGTCTGACATCCTTTCGATAATTTTCCGTGACGACGTACCATTATGAAGTAAAAGATGTTGCCGCTGTTCAAGTAAGTAGCAAGAGGGAATAGAAATTCACACACTTAATGATCCGGAAGATTGGAAGTCATCCAACCCCAATCTCATTCGTTTTCTCGCAATACTTTCTAAAGAAAAATGATTTGAAATCATATATAGAAATCATTATGGCTGACAAAATTGATGGATATATGAATATAATGCAGGAAGATGGGAAAATGTAAGACAGAGGGGCTCGAAGGCATTCACAGGGTTCAGTGCACGTCCCTTTCTCAAGTGAAGCTAAACTCTTCTCAGAAGGAAGGTATTGCGGTATAACCAATCATTGAGACGAATTCAATAATGTTTCAATCGCGACAGCATCATTCATCATCATCACCAACATACACCAAGTTTCCCCCCAAGTCTGCTTCCTTCAATTGATATATTGATTAGCAATACAACTCTCGTATTTACTAATTATCCTCCAAGATAAACGGCACAACAATCACTCCATTCTTCCACCATGAAGGAATATATTTATCTCAGTATGCGACAATGTTGTACCTTCATTACATTCTCGAAATCACTCTTCCCATTCCTATCTTGAGACTAGTTTTTTCCCTCTTCCATTCAGCTTTTTCTCCAGCATGGCAATGAAACCTACAATTCTCATCACAGGTTGTAGTGATGGAAGTATCGGACATTCTCTAGCTCTCGAATTTGTTCGTCAAAACTACCATGTTTTCGCCGGCTCTCGTCGACTCTGTACAATGAAATCTCTTGAGAAAAATCCTGATATTACCTTGATTGAACTCGACGTAACATCGCCTTCCTCAATCCAAGCAGCCTACGAGACAGTATTTGCGGCCACAGTTGGAACTCTTGACATCCTCTACCAGAATGCCGGAGTACGAACAATAGCCCTTGCCATGCATTGTGACTACGAATTGGCTCTAAAAATTTTCAGTACAAATATACTTGGAACAGTTGAGATCACTAGAGTCTTTATGCCGCTTTTAATGAAAGCTGGCCCTGGAAGTAGGATTGCATTCTCTAGCAGTCTCGCTGGGTATATGCCAATCCCAACCCAATCACTTTATAATGCATCAAAAGCCGCTCTACACTCGTACATATCGACTTTGGAGCTTGAACTTAAGCCTTTTGGAATATTTGTTATCGATGTGGCTTCAGGTACAGTTGGTACCGCTATGTTGACCCAAAACCAGATGGAAAAATTACCAGAAGGTATGTATCATCATCCCCGAGCCTTTCGGTGATATCTTGCTAACATCTTTCACCGCAGACTCTCCATACAAATCAATCGAATCCGATCTTAACGAAGCTTGGGTCAAAATTGGAGGAGGGATACCTGTGGAAGCATACACCAAGCATGTTGTTGGAAAGGTCCTTCAAAAGAATCCACCTCAGCGTTTCTTTGCTGGAGCCGGCGCAACATTAGGATGGGCGATTGATAAATTGAATGCGGATTGGGTTTATAAAGCGTTCTTTTGGAAGATCTTTGCTTTGGGTAAACTCTCTCGAGCGCAAGATTAGGATGGATTTGTCCTGTAGGCTTTCTAGTTCCCTGAGACACTGATCTAAAGCAAAGTTGTTATGGATAGATTTGGATTGTGTCAATTTTCATACGTCGCCTCGAGCACTCTTCTATTTAATCGTATCTAAATGAAGAATCCGAACGATACCTACCCAGGTACTTACTTCCATTTATATATGCAACGTTTTGCATTCACTATATTGTTTGCAAGACTCCCATGGGTACGAGAACGCACAGCCACTATAACCTACAAAAGTTGACCTTGTGATTCATACATTTACTAATTAGGAAGTGATTCAAAATACCCCAGAGATCTCATGGTCAACTTCTACCGTGCCTTTTCGTTACCTATATAAAGCTCGCGACGAATGCTATTGAGCTCCTTCTCGATACGAAAAATTCCACAAACTCACGATTCCACCTGATCCACCAAATACGTTACTATGTGTCTCATAACAATCCAACGTTATACCCACTGCCTTTGCATCACCACTCACATCACTATCTACCGTGATATGATCAACAAATATCAGTTATTCTCACGAAGGCAAACTGCAGACTTTGGAGAAGAAGAGGCAAAGAATTGTCGGTTTAGACAAGATGCTCGAGCCTCACTTGAGACTCCATGCGGCAATACAAGTTGCACTCCGAGCACGAAGCGAATAGATTAGACAATAGGTGATAGGAACATGAATGCAATATTGATTGCGAGACGAGATGCTTTGAGAAGAAACAATGATTCCGTATCCAGTATGATTACACTGGGGGACGAGGTTGAGCTAAGAAGGGGTAGACATTAGTGAATTTGATAAGAGTATTTTGGGACTTTCTCGTGGATATCAGATTGAGAGGATCTCCAGACATCACGCCCAGATTTCCGCTTCCAACGGAAGGATGAATTGCCGGAGCAGCCACAATGGTGGATCAGGTCCAGTTGGCTGGGTTTCCCGTCAAGGGTACGATTCCAAGCCACTGCTCGTATTGTTGTCTTGATCTTGGTTCCCCCGGCCCTCTACACGCATTCTGCTAAAGGGAGCTACACATCTGTCTGTTCCTCGTCGGCTATATGGATCGTTTTACACGTATAGCACTTTGTCGAGATGTTTTTACTTTGCTTAGCAGATAGGGGTTTCGCCTCAATATCAATCTACGTCTCGATATCATTTTGAATATTGATCCACTATGGTATATCCAGATAATGATAACAGTATTTCGGTACTGGATTCAGTTACTTAAGCTTAACCTGCAGTAGGAACCGATTTGGCAGTGTAGTGGCGGATGATTGAGCTTGGCACAATGACGGTATGGCTTCATGAGTAATCACTTAAATAGCTTGCCAACCGAACCTTATTTATACTTCCCATCCACATTTATTCATATGGTTTCTCAAGATCCCCATCTTCTTTTCCCAATTCAGAGTTGTGCGGGGAACTTGGCATTCACGAAACTCCCGATTTGAATATGAATAAGAAGGCCAAGAAATATCTAGTTAATATTCTTCCAAATACTACAATCCGCAGTAAATATTGAAGGTACCTCAAAGTGACATTTGCTCGACTTGTTGATGTTTTGCCCTTGAAGTCCGGAAAAGCTTCTGGACATTGGCTTTCACAGCCATGATTTCGTACTTGGCGAGATCAGTGCTTTTCGCTTCATGCTTGGTATCACGACTGGTCTCTATATTCCAGTCCTCAACTTCTCAGTTCAAGTTCTTGGCAAGTACAAGTCTGGCATGAGATCAATTATTCCAAAGCAAAAATCAGGATGGAAAATATGTATAAGAAGGAGGCGAAAGTCTGGTCTCAATTATATTTCCTCATCAACACAATCACAACTCAATCAACACTTTAAGTTCTCTACCCCTTGAACAAACAAACATCCAATACCTTAATACCTTCTATATAACAAATCCCAATCCAGTCAACATGAAGTTCACCATTGCCGCCACAGCTGCAGCCCTCCTCTTCACAACCACAGCCATCGCTGCTCCTGCAGACGGCGCAACTTATGCATCCTATGGTAGTTACCAATGGGCAGACGGGGCCCCAGTAAGCGACCAAGATGTTTCCAAGGACAACCCAAAAAGCCCCGATGTACCAGCCAATATGGCAGTTGCTCCAGCTGCTCAAAACGGCGGATCACCTTTTGTCTTCACTAGCACATACAATGTCGTAGCTCTCGGATCTGAAGTTCGCAATGGTACTGTCTCGGTTCCAGGCCCTTCAGATGCTGTCGGGTATTTCAATTATGGAATCAATGCTCACCAAGATACCATTTGCTACGTAAGTACTTTCTTTCATGAATCTAAATCATTGAATTATCCCTAACCTTTATATGAAATCAGAACATCACCCTACTCAACGTAGCCGGAACCTATCAATCCCCCGCCAAAACAGCAACACATATTCACGAAGCCGCCCGCGGTGCATCCGGACCTCCTCGTCTCGCATTCCCAAATCCAGTCGGTGATGATTATCGTCGAGTCAGTGTGGGCTGTATGACTGGTCCTTTCACAACAGGAATAAATGCTCCTAATGGAGGACCGGATACTGGTACTGGTTTCAAGGTTGCTCAGATCGAAGCTAATTCAGCGGGATTCTTTACAGACGCTCATACAAACCTTTTCCCATTGGGCGTTGTTAGAGGTCAGCTTGCATAGATGGGAGGTTGTTGGGAGGAGATAGTTGTAGGGCTTCATAATAGTTCATGGGTTACGGAATTGGGTAATTGGGATATTGATTCATGTGTAGGGAATGTATTTATGATTTTTTTGTATTTATGTAGTATAATATATCTTTGTGCAAATTTCAAGAGCAGTTTGCATAATCATTCAATGTAAAGGCGTCCAGGTGAGTATGTTGACTGAGTGGGTGACAGTTTCTTAAAAGTCTCTAAGCCATTAAGAGCAATGGGATGAACGGTAGAGATTTTCTTTATTTACGACATGAGCTTGAAGATCTGGTATCTGTCAGGGTCAGTGTTCACCAGGTACTTCTTCTATCTACATTCAGTATGATATGTCAGCAGTCAAAAGAAGAACGAGATTTCTCACAAGTAAAAGGTGATGGTATCAAAGATCACGAGAATGATATTAGTCAGAACAATTTCACGATACATACTCACTCACCGAAGTAGACAAAGTTATTTAAACAAGAAAAATTTATATTAAGTATCCAAACAAAAAGAAAATCTAAAGTATCGCCATCAAGACAAAACAATGAACCACAAAGAGAGATTTGCCTACCTTGAACAAAGTTTATTTCAAAACAAAGAAACAACAGCCAAGTTACTCACCTACCTAGTAATAAATCCACAAGCCACTCGACTCCAGATCCAAATCACAACCTACCTATCCACGCGGCGAACACACCGGACACAACGCCTCATCAATCCACGTAACATCCGCATTCCCATCAAACGTGGGACCGGTGAGATAATTACAACAAGTAGTGCACACATCGCCGACAGTTTTGTAACCGATGAGTCCGCAGCAGCAGCATTTTACCTTTTGGAATTTGCAGGATTGGCAGGCGAGAGAGGGGAAGTGAATTGAGGGGTCCCATAGGATGGGCATTTTTGGGGATTTGGGAGGGGGTTTTGATGGAGAAATTTGTGGGGTGTTGGGTCGGTTGATGTTGTTGATGTTGTTGATAATGATGTTGACGATGGTTGAATTGTTTTATGGGTGATATGTTTGGTTCGGAGGCATGTTCTTATACACGTATTGTTGCTGTTGTTCATATCTTGTACTTGGATTTACAGGGGAGTTGTTTGGAATCGTTTTTGGTACAAGGAGATTTCTCACAACTTTACGTGGATATGACAGTTTACCGAATTGTGGAAAGGACTCACTTATTTCCCTCCTTTGAGACATCTGTAATTACAATACAATTGAGTAAGGAATTGTGAGATTGCTCCATGTTCTTTTCCTAGGGACAAGAAGATCGGAAGTTGGGAATAGGAAAAAGCGGGATGGCTGTGAACTGTATCGTCGTAGATAGAGTAGTGAAATATCTGACTGGTTCTGTAGCAATGACTTGTACTTATCTGATCGACTTCGTACATAGCTTTCAGCATCAAACAGCTGCCTCAACTCTAACTGTGACTTTAAGTCTGAGGTGAGGGTATCCTGACATCTTCTGTTTCTTTCGATCCGCGGAAAGTGCGTCCGAGGAGGAAAAATAGCTTCGCGAGTTTTACGTGCCCAATATTTTGTAGAGGATGTTGGCTGTATGCATCTCTCTGGTCTAACCATGGTATTAAGACAAATCCATCTTATCGATCCATCTCCATCTTTTCAATAGTAACTTTTAACTTCTATGCTCACTATTTCTCTCCTTTCAATAACTCGAAGATTTGCATATAGACGGATTTTTGGGTAATGGCATTCCATTCACAACCAACTCTTGCTTCATTGCAGATACGTCGTATGAGGGCATAAAAAGTAGCGCAGCACTTGTCGGGCAGTCGATAAAAATTGCCGTTTGATACATCACATACACTCGTATGCCGGCTTAGGCTTCGCTGACAAGACCCCAGCACGACCATCAGACGAATTTCTTCGATGAAGAGACACAAATCAACGCTGAAGCATTCGCAGATATAGGACTGGAGGGCTAGATAGCACTTGCATCCTCGAAGAGTTGTTGGTAGTGAATTGTCGTTGATGCAAGCCTTATCAACGGAATGTCTTCGAAATCTCCTTGATTCCCTTGAAAGTATACCAACCATCATCAATCATCCCTTCCTTCGACCTTGTCGCAAGAATCGTAAACATTGGTTCATTGAGGTTCGTGGTGCCCCCACCCCAAAATACGGAGACCTTGTGGTCTCATTGGCGTTACCCCACGACAAGTACTTTCCGGCCGTGTATTCAAGACCAACAATCAATTTATATGATGATTTAGTAGTTCCATGCATGCGAATCTCTGCATCCGAAACCTCATTATTTGCTCCTAATGGTCGTAGTATACTATCCACTCGTTGTCTCATTCATCGACATTTCTTCCAATGATCACGGGGTCATGACCCCTCGAGAAAGATACCGAATACACGAGAAATCTATCGACGCAATTCGCACATCATTACCGCATGTAGTAGCATATACTAGCTAAGTTGTTTTGATTGTTTCAGCAAAACTTGTCTCATAATGTCTCAACAGCTAGGGTGGAAAGGCTATTGACGAGCTTCAAATAGAACGTAGTGTGTTCTGGCCGGTCATTTCTACGCGATTCCAAGCACTGAGCATATGTCTTACTTGGTAGCTCATGAAATGCGGGATGACTTTAACAGCGTCCCTCGTCAAATCAGGTACTGCATTATTTGCATACCTATCAATTGAGGCTTAGCCTCTTGATTTTGGCAGCTTGAGCTGAGCAGAAACAAAGTGGCCAACTATGACTTAATAAGTTTGTCTCGCTACATTAACTATTGTTTGATGCTTAGGAAACCGATATTTCCTCCTCATCTGACGTCCGCATGAATGTACTGACTACAAAAAGCTGAAACCTACTCATCTGAAGATCCTTTCCATTACTTTATGTGTCTTTAAACATTCAATATTTGGGCATCGGAACCTTCAGATGAGAAGTGCGGCATTCCACCTGGGCAGATGCTATGCTGAAATGCAGTTGTAAAGGAGGAATTACAGCAGGATAGGTAGGTTTATCATCCAAAAATCAGACTTGATAAGGACTTTTATTTTCAGCCGCTGCATCATTGTCACAGTGGGTAAGTTTTGGCTTGTAGCTGGCATAAGTTGATACCAAGAAGGATGGAATCAACTGTGGTTCCCTTCTACTGCATATCTTAAGGGCTAGTATCCCCGCTTCAAATGATATGTAATTGCTGATGCTTCCCTTTCGTGGTTCTCTTGCTCAAAGCAGGGGTATTTTTCTTGCGCTTCTTATTGCGAAGCATTTTTGATATGGCTAGATGTCATGAGAGTAAGGTAAAGAAGTCCAAAAATTTGAACTTGACTTTATGTTCATGAAATATACATATATATATATGTATATATGTAATAAACAAGCGTCGAATTCTATTGGACACTCATTTGTAATTTGCAAACTCCTTTTCTTTCATTAGTTCCAGCGTTTCCAAACCAAATTGTAGGTGTCAAAGGTTGATTTTCAGCCTGTAATCTTGTTCAATTACATTCATCATCTACCTAGGACTACCTACTTGTCAAAAGCTCATTCACATAGATTCACTCGCCCAGAAGTACAGATGGGCTCCTTCATGCAAAGCTCAAAGAGAATTGTATTCAGTCATCCACATCCTGAGAATTGAGCAAAATTGGTACCAGAGGAAGGGAAACCAATCCACTTTTTGTCTAAAGGAGTTCATCATTCACTGTTTCGATCCTAACAAGCAAGGCAAATGCAGATTCGGAACATTTTGGCAGAAAAACAAATAAGATGAGAGGTCTAGGCCTTGAATTCACTGAATATATGTGACCCCCCTGTTTTTTCTGGTTGCTAAAGAAACTTCTCATTGGTGGACTCAGCCATGTCCGCCTTGTACAGTATCTCATTTCTTAATAAATTTCAACTTCCTCAAGCTCGAACAACTTTATTCTCCTGCCTGTCTACTTTTACTGTTAGCCTTTCTTAGCACTAAAGTCAACGAGTTTTTTTTTGGAGTCTGGGGTTTGGGATTTGGATTATAATCCACAAAGGAGCAAATTTCAAAACCTGTAAACCACGGATACCTCTTTACAAAAGAAATCTCAAAGTCAAGAGATTGTATCCCCACTCTATTTGATGGCCAGTCCGGTTGAAGATAGAGGAAGCATTGAAAGCACTGGTTGTGAATTGCCTACTACAGCTATCCTGGATCATCAAGTCATGGCAAATGATGAAGTCAAACCTGTGGCTACACAAAACAAGTTTCAAATAAAATTTACTTCAAGTATGCTCAAAAAAGTCGATAATTTCACCGAGTTTACTCGACGAGCTAACATTTCTAATCACCCCAGTTAACCCAGTCAACCTAGTCGGCCCAGATTCTGGGTGCAACAGCAACAATGACCCCACTCCCTCTGGAAAAAAGGAACTTGAAGCAGCTTACTACAGCTCTAGTAAGTTACTAAATCCCGACTCAAATACATATATTGAAGACTAGACTAATTCATCTTCATTATTCAAGAGATGTTCAACTTCTTCGAGACACAACTTTATCGAAATGGTCTGCTCAGCACCATAGGTGCTACAGCTTCATCTGATTCATTTATTTTATTCCCACTTCTGCCTATAGAATTACAACGAAAGATTTGGTTCTACGCTTTGCCTCCACCAGACAGCAATGTTTGGGCTCTGTTCCACGTAAGATATTGTCAGAATAATACCAAAGCTGCGATTTCTATCCACTGTCATTCCAGGGAAATCAGTAAACCTGCATTCCCATTCCTATATGCTCTACAACCTGTATGCCGTATGGCACGAGAGATGTTCTTGAAGCACTATAGTCAATTCACATTTGATGGAATCAATAATAAGAACATCCGTGATCCTGAGGATGAGGATGACAATAATTACCGATTGGTGACGGTAATAGCAAAACCTGGTATATGGAATATGGCCACTTCAAGGAGCTTTTCGAAGAGGAAGACGAGAATATCATGGAAGCCCTCGATGAGGAATCTTTCGAGGAGGAACGTCTCATTGTTATTGACGACGACTAAGCTCGTTGTATTTTCTTGCCTCTGGAGGAGTAGTAATTTCTCATGGAAGTTGGAGGGAGGTCCAAGATATTGTCAACACGCCATAGTTTCCTTCGCGACATTCGATACCCATGATCACCAAGCTTCAGTAGGCTCACATTTCCATCTGAATTTTGGAGAGTTTTGAGGTTATTCGAACCTATGCACTTTGGGGCTGCGAAAATTACCTTTCCGGGGTGGATATCAAAGCCTTCACATGTATTTCTCTGCTCTATATCCTGCTATAGATGATAATGATCAAAATGGGAGATTGGGAATCAGGAATTGAATGAGGGGAAATCCTTTAGGTAGTACAGTCGGGATCAATTCATCTACATAATAATAAATTCATTGAGAATCAAGCATCATATATCATGTGTTTGAATATTTAACGTGCTGACCTCTCAGATATGCATATCGGGGTGAGGGTTGGCTTTGAATAATTCAGCTATAGAGTTATGAAACTAACAGCAGGCCAAATTATCACTGGACAACATAAGGGAGTATGTGAGTTGGGATTGGGCGACGAGGTTAGTGTTCCACATTTTTAAGACATCATCTCGATCTTTGATATACAGTTCCAAACATTTTCAAACTAGATAAAGCCCTTCGAGTCTTTTCTAACTCGTTCCTTTCAAACCCACACTCCTTGATGAACCATCCCTCAACGCCACTCCATCTCTTACCTTCTACATGTTTATAACAATTTACATTTTGCTTCACATGACCTCCTCATTTCGCATCCATCCAATTCAAAAATGCGATAACATTTTTCCCCTTTGCACTAGATAGATCATCTAGTCCCGGTTGTTCCAAACCTCTCTCTCCTACCAATTTCAACACCCCCTGTAACAATCTTTCTCTATGCGATTCAGTCCCACTACGTGTTAATACATAATCCAGCGCGATTTCCTCCTCCGAGGCACCAAAGAAAGCAAGTATCAATGCGGCGACAACAACTGTACGATCTTTACCTGCAGTACAATGGAACAACGTATTTCCTCCCTCAGTTCCTCCCATCTTTTCGAAAACTTTCCGAGTTCCCATTTTGTACCCTTCCAAAATCCTCTCCCCATACATCTTTACGAATGCTGTTTTCTCACCCTCTCCTGTGAAGTCGGCTATTGATATGTTTTTTACTACACTATTGCCATTACCTTCATCTCGAATTATTTCTACGTTGTCTACCTAGCTTTAGTATTGGTTCTTCTAGGCGACATGAATGAGTATATAGTCTTAACATTTTATTGAGACGAAAGAAGAGCAAGTGAGGAAGACGGTAAGTGGGACAGAGAACCGGAACGAAATATCCGATTTGACGAGAGAAGAGGAGCCGATATTGTACGAACATCCAGCGCATACGGAATTCGTAGGAATGGTGGTTGCGACAATATCGACTCCACAATCTCAGCTGGAATACTTTGAGAAATGGGTGTTTGGAGGAGATTGACTAGAGTGGGTTCCGCACCGCTTAAGCATGCCATGTTTCGGATGGGTTGGAAATCTTAGTTACGCTGATATCGGGCCGGGTATGGTAATGGTAAGCTTCTAGATCTTGGATGTAACGTGGTTGATGAGGTGATGTTGAATATTTATAGATGCCGTGTTTTTGCGGGGAGCTGGTCAGTAAGTTGGAGATTTGTGGTAGCCTAAATGGCAGCTGACTTTTTCTTGGCCGTTATCTCAACAAAGCGTGGCTTTGATGACGGAAGAAGTCATCCTGATTGTTACACTGAAAGAAAGATCGAATGTCATGTATATGTGTGTATTTCAGATGTGTATCTGTATGTGTGTCTTCCTGTGTACAAGTTGAGAAACTCTGTCTAAGAACAAAAAGATGTGAATAAGTATCATGTACTATGTATATGTCATACCCGCTAATAATCATACAATATTGTAGTCACTGGGTATCAATGCGATGTAAATGCAAGAGCCAGTGCTCAAAAGGACCCACCCACTCCTTGCAATGCAATTAACAAAAGAAATAATCATCAAGTATCAATGACATTATCTAAGATCTTAACTAAAGATCAAAAGATTAAGCCACATCGCTGAATCCACTCTTCCCACTTTCACTCCTTCTACCCTTCATATTATCCCACCCCGAATCACTCCCATGATCTTCACTATCATCTTTACTTCCCGGTGTCCCCCTTGGGTACCCTCCAATCCCTAATTCTCCCTCTCGTGCTATACTCACACGAACACTAACATTTTTCGCCACAGAAATATCTCCCATCTTGTAAAGATTATCCGTGCTATCACTCGCTCCATGTCCTCTTCGTCCCAAATTACCGCTCCCTCTATTCCCCCTCACAGCAGCCTTTAATCCCCCAGCTTCGATAGTCGTAGTTGTGCCCAACGAATGTCCTTTGCCCATAAATGCGAAAGTTTCCAAACCCGTTTCCTCGCCTGGTGCGTACTCACTAAACACGATTTCTGCTCTTGTACTGGCGTATAATAGTACATCTAACCATCCATTGCACGCAATCATACTACCCGCCACACAGAAATAACTCAGACTGACTTCCGACCCGGCTAGTGCGGCGATACGTCCGGCGGCAAGTGGAATCGTACAAATCGTATAGATCAAAGGATAGAGAATCATAAGAGGTTGAGCGCCGTGAAGATCGGATGCTTGATTTCCGGGAGGAGCGGAACGCGATTGATGACTAATGTAGATGAAGATACAGGCGTAGATGAGAATGGTTCCGAACATGGCACCGAATATCCAAAAGTAATGAAGCCATAGACGTTCATTTTGATACTGATTTCCAATCCAACACTACGCGTGGTGATTAGATGTATTTCTATGTTTGTATAAAGTGAAAGAACTTACCCAAGCAGAAGCCCTCACGTAAAGATCATGTGGGTGCATTGCGACACCGATGATGGCCAATCCGTAGATGAATACCCAACATCCTCCGATCGCCGTATAGAATGCCCATTGTGGAGCACGATATTTTTTGACGACGCTGAGAAATGTGTGACATGCGATGGCAGCGATGAATACACTACTAGCCAAATCTCCCGTCGAGACAAACCATCCTTGAACCCAACATGTTGACGTTCCAACTATGATTCCATTGTTCTTGAGCGAGCTGATGTTGAGTAGAAATGCTAATGCTTGTTGAATATCCGCCAATAGTAAATTGTATATCAGAAATAAGAATTGATTAACAGAAGACGTTGCTTGACCTGCACCCATGGGCGTTTTCTTCTTCCATGAAAAGATCTTGTATGTGAGGTAGAGGAATAAACTAATCGAACAGAAGAATGATAACAGACCAAAGGTCGCGACAGCAACTAAACCATGAGAGAGGGATTCCGGTAGAGGCGTCAATGAAGAAGATTCTGCGTCCAACATCTCCTTCGTCGGTACCGAATCGAATATTGGGGTTAAAAATGGCGACTTGTGGCTTGCATCCAGAAGAAAGACGAAATCAGGAGTCAAAGACAAGCCCTACAGACAGGTCACAGATGTTGGTACATATAAGTTCATTGAAGCTAATTGAACCGTGTGTAGAAGAGTGGAGAGATATCTCGACAGAATAACGATGTTGCAGTTCTCGGACTCGTGCCTAAGCTTTAGATGATGCAAATTGATGAGTTCGAGAAGATTGCTTGATGCATGTCAACCGACACGGGCAAGAGAGATAAAGGTCATACGAAAATACACATGGCAAACAGGGGAAACCTTTACGCCCAGATAAATCGTACATGGTTCCATGAAGCTTCTAGCCTAGGAGACATGAGGAGACGGGAAGTAGACAGGGAGAATGTGGATTAGATTTGCGTGATAGGCTCAAACGGGTCCTTCAAATCCGTGTTGAGATTTAAATCAAACACTTGCTCATTTAGCGCTGCGTTGTACTCCGGGGTTCCTGTAGATCTTAACCTCTTTCCGACAGAAAATAGCGACTAAGCACAAATAGTAGAGGCTGAAAAGGATTAAGATGATTCGGCATTCATTCTGACATTGACAATTGTACAAAACGTTCGGTACGACTTTTATGGGGTAACCATTTCGAGGTGATTATCTTGATATCAATACAATAGATGTATATCTTGTACTCGCGTACTTGAATACAATGACAATCTTCCGAGAAACACAAATTTGGAAGATTCTACAACGATATGGCGAATAAACTCCCCTTCTTTCAACGTTATGAAAATCTAGGCTTTTCTGAGAAGATAATGTAACCCCCCTGGTCGTTAAGCTGAAAGCCTAATATCACTTTAGGGTAAGAGGCGACGCCACCAAAAGCACCAAGAAACGCCAAGTGTGAATGATAAGTTAGATGCACTCATCTTGTACGATGTGAAAGCTTACTGTGTAACCGACCTATCGTGTTCATCAAGTAGGAAAGGATCAGTCTAGAGCTTTTGAAAAGAAAAAAAAAATGAATATATTGATCGGTAAGATGACTCTGTATCTACAGCATGCTGGGCAGCCGGTACGCTATTGTTTTCCACGTGGAGAGACTAGAATCTTTGAGGAACAAGCTTCTTTTATTGTTCCATCGTTCAATAATCTTACAGTAAAACCTCTCTATAAGGATACCGGTTTTTGTAGACTTTTTTAAGGATATATAAAGGTATCCTTGTATAGAGGTATCCGACTAATCCCGACATAGTAATAATTCGCTTCCAATTAGTCCCGACCGGGTCATATTCCGTGATAATTTCGTAACTTTTTTCCACTTTCATAAAAATTGACTAAAATTTCAATATGTCGATTATATAATAATTAATCCTGGAAATTCTATTAACTCAATAATGACAATTTCGGAACTTTTATTTTATTTTATAAAATATAACTAAATTCTCTATATAATATCAATATCATAACTCAAATCCTGATGATTTCATTGGCCCAATAATGATACACGTGATCCTAGGACTAATAAATATAAAGATATCCTAATAGAAGGGTTTTAAGGATATAGGTCTTTTTCAGCCCTGAAATTTCTTGGGACCAAAAAAATAAGAATAATAGAGGTTATCCTTATAGGGGGGATTCTTATAGAGAGGTCTTGCTGTATTGCTTTATACCGGTAGAGATCCTGACGGATTACAATATTAAATCCTCTTTCCCAACACTCTGGTTTGTGTAACACCATGTTCCCGTCTTACTGTCAGTTCAGGTGACAACAGTAAATAAGTGTCCGACGGCACAGCATCAAGTCTGGGGTCACGGGGATAAAAACTTAAAATGTAGCAGTGCTCCGACATGTTTGACATATGGAATTATAATTTATGTTTTGGCCGGTGGCTAGTGTTGGTCATTGTCAAGATACATGAAGGAAGGCTGCCCATGAATCATTAGCACAAAAGTGTAAAAAATCAGGGGAAAGTGGACATGATCTGTTTGTCAGATTATATAATAGTGACGGAAATTTTTTATGAAAGTTGAAGATCAATAGGTTAAAGAATACTATGCCGGTCCTTGCCTACTATGGAGCTACTCCGTATGTAAAATGCATCCACCTTCCGTATTCCCCTATTGATAAAGATTATGAATGATTGTAACCTGTTGGCTATCGTGGCCAATTCGAAAAAAAAATCTGCCGTTCCAATCTCTCCGAATCCTTTCGATGGAGTAAACAAATTCCCACACTATAATCGCAACTTGTTGTCTGAAGAAATTTCTCTGGTGGGTTCATGATGAATTCGTTCATCTTTTACCATGTTCCATGTCTCATCACTCAAAACTTCAAGGGACCAGATCCTGTCCTGTTTGTGATCAAAGAGAAGGGTCTCTGCTTCACTCTGATTCTCTTGAGACTTCCTCGGTGGTTCGGAGTGTGCGAAAGTGGATAGTTTGAGAGTGGGGGATTCAAGCGACTTCGAGCCCTGTTAACTCAGTGGTTCCAGCGCTTCTTATGAGTGGAGATACCGGAGATGGATTAATTTTATTCGTACTTCCCGTCGCTTCTTGTTTACGGCTTTTCGGGATGGAGGAGTAAAATGATACCTATGGAGAGAGATGCAAAATATTTGAGAGTTAGCGTCGTAATATCGACCAATCACATCAACTATTACTGCCGAGACGTTTTGTGAATGGCTACCGAAAAAATGGGTTAGGGGAATGGGTTGTACCCGATAATATGCCGGAATATTGGGAGATTTCTATAAGCATGGGAGATTTCCAAGATCAACAGAAATCTACGTAGAAACGGCGATGGGTGATGACATATAATGATACTGCTAAGAGGTGTTTATTGAAACGGGAAAATCATCATCGCTTGGGAGTGATATTCAGCGTTTGAAGATAGTGCAAATACTTCAGATGAAATATTTGGAATCATGATAACTAATCGATGCAAAATTAGACAATACTGACTCAATTGAGTCACTGGCGCTTACCAGGTTACAATCGAGCATGAAGATCACGATATGCAAGCAGGCCGATCGTTGGTGATATCTTATTGTTTTTTAGTTTCCAATCTTTTATTTCTTCGCCACTATTGATGTGCCGGTCGACTAATACTAGAAAATTATACTTCTATTTCCATAGTATATCGGCACTCAAGTCATCCGGACACTGAGGAGTGTTATTTGTCTAGGTATTAATGGCTTTTATATACCCTTCATCTTTTCATCGCCTGACGGTCTTCCTTCCTTGTTAGACTTAGGGATCGCTCGACTTCCTTTCGAACAATTCTTTAACACCTTGACCCCTTGACATTGATGGTATAGTGTGCCGTCTACGTTGCATGCGAGATTTCGTATCGAGTTCTTTGTAACTCCACCTTATCCTTAATCCAGAGGGTTTGGGATCATCATGGTTGGTTTCGAAACCATCAATTCATCAGAGTAGTTCTTTTGCTTGACCTAAAACTCCTCGCTCTGATTTAGGATTTCAATAGTGATGAAAGCCAAGTTGATTGTCAATTTGCCCTAGTAATTCGACCCAACTATGACAGCTCCATTATATTCGTCCGGAGCTCCTTTTCATTCTTTTAGGTAGCGATCTGCTTTCTGCTGTAGCTGAGAGAGGTTTACCGGTATTTCCGGTAACTTTTGATATTTCCATATAAGCTCTCAAGCGTATCATGGTCCAGTACTGTCAATCCTTGCTGTCCAAACGTAAATTCATTACATTTTTCCAGGGTGTCACCGACTTTCATGTCGATATTGAAAGTCTTGAGCTTCGCAAAATACCTTCTTAAAACGCACGCACATCAAATATGCCTAGCGGAATTTGACTTGTAGCTCAACCCAAAACACTTAAGTTTGGAGGGATCCTAATGTTAGCATTGGTTTATCGCCCGAACCGCTCCTTTAATCAGTATCAAATCGAAGTTTATCGAATCTTGGATAATGTCACTGTAGTCAAGCTCGGTCGGTTGGGTCGGAGGTTTCAATTGTGCGTGGGTGAACATCCAAACTTAACCATGAAGTTCTGACGGAAGGTTTGACAATAGAGCTAAGAAAAACCATGTAAAATGATCAGATTGACCTTTCGTCCCTTGCACATCAAACTTCTGTCTGTGTTTTTCAGTATCATCTTTCATACAACAGGTTTGCTACTGGCCATCGCAATCACAGCCTCAATGCTTGAACGACATATCAATCTTCCAGTCTCCTTCAGTATATGAGTAGTAGAAATTTCAATATTGGAATGACAGACTGACCGCGTTAATATACTAGTTAAAGCACGTTTAAAGGAGGCGACTATTGAGTACTCGCCGGCTCAGATATACCTAGATATTGAAAAGTTTGAGATTTGCCAATTGTCCTTTGAATTGCATCCATATATTGAATGTATTTAAACATTCACGATGTATGTTCAGTCCCAAAGTCTGGGCTATTGAACGTATCAGTTCACCCCATACATCCCTGAGAATATGCTAGGAATGCTGTTCCAAATTCCCCCCAAAAAATGAGTGTAACACGGGGAAGATAATTCGACCGCGTTCAAATCAATCCATCGATATTGTTATAACGATACATTATCTGCCCATCTTGAACACTCGTACTCTTGGACTTTCAGGCCATGAAACATGCGTTTATTGTAGCACCTACGACGTAGGTCCCAGTTATCAGTATTATATTTTGCCAATGAGGAGTTGTATGGGCTAAGAGAACACTTCTCAAATTTCAAAATTCATAATAAGTTCATACTTAGATTGTTTGATATCAGAATCCATATTTATTGAAACATCATGACACTCCTCGAGGTATTCGGACTGAGTTGAGGTTTCAAAGAATATCATAAATCAATCCTTTTTAGTGCTTCTGTTGGTCTGCATATTCACCATTGAACATTGTATAGGAAAATTGAATCCTTATGAGGAGATTTCCACGAGACCAGCACACCCGCTGAATCTAATACAGTAGGCATACGACTTGAATTCATGCAACTATCTTCATAGAACAGCCTCTACCTAGAGCCAAATCTACTGCTTTTGGATCTCTCTTCAAATCAATGACCTTGACTACATCCATACTATCGTCAAATAAACCCACCAAATCTTGTGTCCAGATTTTTCCATTTCAGAATAAACGACATGAAGGAACTCGCATTCCAAGAAACTTTTACGCGCGCCGAGGCAGTCGAGTCGCCGGAAATTCCTAACCCTATTGACTCAGCGGTCACCATCAACTCGACATCTGGAGACGGCGATGCTCAGACGGTAAATGAAACACAATTACAAGAAGGCGCGGAACTTCCAGAGATCATCAAACTTCAGAACATGAATCCACGCCCAGGTGCATTTGATCAACCGGGCATCGTGGAACAGGATGAAACGGAAGACGAGATGGGTTTAGATAGATTAGCCGTGGTGGACCAAGATTTAAAAGGTACCTTGCCCCTCAATCATGTTCAAAGTCTTGCTGTAGTACCTTGACTAACGTCTTTAGTGGACTGGGAATATGCGTGCATGACCAAGCGTGAGCAGTTGGAGTTTCTATACTCAATCTGTGAATACTGTGAGAGTTTTGTTGAAGCGACACAGCCTCAGACATTCTTGAGAAAGTTTAAATGCTTTCCCAAGTTACCACTCGAAATGCGTCGGAAAATCTGGTTCCACGCCCTGCCGGAACCAAGCTTGGTGGAGCTGAATCTTTACAGAGAATCAGATCATGTCGCTTTTGGCGGAGGCTCTGAACATGTATCCGCCGAAATTTGGCATACAATAAAGAAGTTTGGTGCGGGGTATTTCATTCCAAGCCAACTTTTACTTGTCTGTCGCGAGTCACATGATTTCTTCCTCGAACACTATAGCATTATGGATCTTCAGAGCCTGCCCGGTAATGAAGTTATATCAGATGACACTACCAATTCCAGTAACTCAACATTTCATGCATCGTCAAGAGGCTACATTGACATTAAGAGCGATACGTTGGTCATTCGCAACTTGCAGCATGTGGTGGATAACTTGCTGTTCTTCAACATGCACTTGAAGCTGTCGGTTATCACTAAGTTATCCATCCATACTAGCGAAGCTGAGTACTTCTTTGACCCAAACATTGGACGAAATATCTTCGGGGGGCTACCCTCTCATCTATGGAAGCATATCGAAAAACTATTTCCTCATTTGAAGCAATTAACTTTCATACAAAATAATTGCGGAGATAACAGATCTGTTAATCAAGGAGAACTTGACTTGAACCCGCTGTCGATCAACTGCTTGCAAGCTATCAATGATGACACTGTCGATTTTCTGCTAGAGTGTATTGCAAAGTTGAGGGAAGTTATCTTCAATCGCTTTCCAGGTTGATTCCAAATTAAGGCTCCCATCATTGTACTTTGAACACCCACCAATTGCAATATGTCGCAAATCCGAGAAATCTAAGGTCATGCCGATGCCAGCAAGTATCTCTATTGATTCTTTGAGGTTGCCAAACTTCAGACAGTCGGTCTTAGGATCGATATAGCATTGACTCGGAGGACTTGCCATAATCACGCGACATACAGTCGAGCAAATGGGTAGGATAGCTGACGTATAAAAACGTTTGCCATCGGCAGGTATCTGGGTATGGATATTGAAGCTCTTGTAATGTTCCAGGAATACATCTTTGAGCTCATGGCATGTCAAAAAGAATGGACGAATGTTGTGGCTCAATTCTTTGTTTTTGGTGACGTCTGTAGTTGTAGTATAATCCCTGATGCCAAGACTGATAACTTTTGGATGTCGCCCTACAAGCAGCTCTAACTCAGATTTCGGGTACATCACAAAATTTACTAGACGTGGCTCTGGTAGAGCATGGAACCAGATCTTACGTCTAAGCTCAAGCGGAAGCTTTGAAAAGCAAGTAAAATTCTTGAAGTAAAGAGCAGGCCATTCTATCTCTTTGTATACTTTGAGCGTCTCTTGATCCGATTTTCGACCCATACCGTTGATTTTATTGATTTGATCTCTATTAAGATACCCGACTATCTCCCAATCCTCTGAAAAGAAAGGTGTTAGCGTTACTGATGGATGGGCAGTGATTAATATTCCTTACCTGAGCTTTGTAGATCTGCTACCTCACCTCCACTAATACTCTCTCTGAGCGAGACCTTTTCTGAAGCAGTTGTAATGGCATTGATTAAAGTTACTTCGGATTCTTGGTCGTTTGATTGCGATCTTTCTGGCGAGAAAGTAGCACCATCCATAGCTGAAAGTATGTACTTGTAGGGTTTGGTTTGTTGCGGCAAACTTTTCCCAATTTGTTGGAAGTTGTGATTAGAAGTAAGTTGTAATTTCCCAGAAGCTTAAGCAACTAATATAGTAATGGAAATTATCCGTACGTGTGTATCGCATTACTCATACGGCACATTCCGAATAAAAATTATTCATTCAATATTATTCACTCCCTGGAGTAGTATATGATAAACCCTAGGTAGGCATTGTGTGCAATGTCCCAATGTAACGAGACGTATCTTGTTTTCTACTTCCGTGACTGATCAAATTAGCTTGAATTTATACTCCGTACCTATGTAGTGATGAAATTCGCTGTTATTGATTTGGTTGATAAGTATAAAGTACTTTGGTTTATCATAATTGTAATTATTCTTATCTAATTATAATAGGTACTTCGAGGAAGCTAGTACTCATACAAGAAAAAGCTAGCGCCTCGCTACCTAAGTAACTGACACCGCCTCTTCTATGATCGCATGATCGATATCCCGACAATTATTCCTCTTGGTTATCCCATATTTAAGATGGGCTTCTAGAACTACTTACCTAGGTACGTTGAAGATTACGCGACGATCAAATGAAACATATCTTGAAAATCAAATTGTGAACGCCGGTTCGAGCCAGCTATTAGGTTCATACTGCTCTAAGACCATCCCATCATCTCTAAACTCACCCGAATATTAGAGCCAATCATTTTATCGACTTCATTGATTCATAATATTCTATCATATAGGTGAATCACTACACAGTAGTATGATAATCGCTCTACCTTAACCCACACGTGAATCAACATCTTCAGACATAAATCATACAGCTTCCGGTGCACACATATTAACCTCATTGCTATCGAGAGAAACCACATCCTAAAGCTAACATCGGCATACCCAAAGCTCAGGCCAAGATAACGACTAGTTATTAGCTGACCACCCCTCACATTCCCGAAATGACCGCGGCTCAAAAACCACAGAAGCATTATGTCACAAATCCGAATGTACGAAGAAAGAAAGAAAGATCCTAACCACCCTTTCATATATCCAGACACAGAGTTGAAAATTATGATATTCTCAGCTGTTACTAGGTACCGTCACGAAATCCAACGTGGATATAACCACACATGCCCGCACATTAGTGTATCGAGTAACCTGTTCTTGGGTTGACAGATTGAAAAACTGGTAGGTGAAGCCTTTGGATGCTTCTTTCAATAAAAGAAGAGAAAGGATCAATCGTACAAGACTAACAAAGCGCTCTTTACCCGAGACGCAAGCTCGAGTGTTGCAATTTATGATGGCAGTTTTGTGGTAACTTTGTATCTATTTAATACTTTTGACTTTGGAGTTACAGGATCATTTCCCAAGGAATTTCAGATATACTACTACATTAATAGTTCACTCAAAAGGCACTACTGATGAATGAAAAGACTTCACAGTATCAGCGCTAGCTCTAGAGAAATTGATAATGCGCATTTGTATTTTGAATTATAAGCTAGCTTGGATATGAAGACTCAGAGAGAACTGTCTATTGATTATAAACGCTTTAGATATGTGGCCTATTAATAGGTCAGATAACTGTCAAACATTGTGATTCTCGATGTTTGAATAGAATCATCGCCTAGCTATCGCTGCTTCTAGACCCAACAGCCTCCCCTACTAACTACTATATCCTTTCCATAGTTCCATGGCCATTGCGAGGATTTAGGTCTGTCGGATGTTTCATAGTCATCAAAGAGCTCTCTGATACCCCAATATTCACCATTGGCGATTCCGTCCTCATAAGTTGGAATGACATACTCGTGTCCCCACCAAAGTATGTGCATTTGGCTCGTGGAATACAGAGAAAAGGTGAAGTGATGATGGCTCTCGCATGCTGGCTGTAATCCATCAAGGGGCAAAGCCTCTCCGTCCTTCTCCCAATGTACCAGAAAAGCTAGAGTTACCTCGACATTCTTCCAGAAGTTCATGTTCGTTCCAGTGAGGAATCGTCTTTTCAAGCGCCTTGGATGTGCAAGAGCTTTGTCCCTGTGTTCAGAATTCGTAAATTTTTCAGTATCCAAATCGAATCTGTTAGGAGTTGCGAGTCGTTCAAGTTGTAAGACACGATTCAGCTCGTTCATGAAGTTGACATCTGTTGCTTTTACAACTGCCAAAGGACCGAAATAACCTCTTGAATATTTCCATCCGTCAGCCTCCGGGGTATGATTAGCAATCAAAGACAGGTGCTTCAGTCTAGGGAATTGCTCTTCTAGGAGAAATGGAACAGTATTCGTCCACCATGAGCCGATTTGAACTCTGTAGAGAGGGGTGTCAGAGATGGCAAGATTGGTAATTGAGGAGAAATCTGGACGGCTTTGAAGCCACGCTAGCGTGTTCAAAGTGTGCTCGATATTCTCGGCAACTAGAGTATCCACCCTAGAGTCAATCCAGCCTTTGCTCTGTACTCGTACACAGGCGGCTTGTCGTGTCCCCCCTTGTGAGCAATGGTATGTGCCATCTACAGGTCTAACTCCTCGAGGACGGTGGTAATGTTACAAAAATATCTCGGAGGATTCTCGACATGTCCATAAGAGATTTTCTGGTGATAAATTCGCACTTGAATCATCGTCAAAAGACAGAGTTGCGGTGATGAGACGTGAGTTTAATTCATTGGACCATACGATACGTGAATCAGAGTCGGTTGCCAAATGAAGACTTATTGTGCGAGGATCTGGAAGTGCGTAAAGCCATATCTTTCTGCGTAGTTCATATGGAAGTCTGTGAAAGCATGTAAATTGATCATAAGATGATCTTCTTTCAAGCTCGACCCAAGTATAAAGGTATTTACCCGGCACGAAATTCTTACGGTAAAACTGTTTGTACCACATTCCACTATTTGCAGCGTCGTCCTTGAACGAGTTATTTGGTGATGTGTGGCGCCATGGGCATACAAGAGGTCCTTCAGTGAGTTCCAAATTGACGGTTGATTCATCGATAGTAGCGGGCTTTTCATGAGTAATCTCTTCCTGAAAATCGTTTGTGGTTTGCATGTTTGCGACAGTCATGATAGACTGATGAGACTCGTTGATACTGTCGCTAGATAAAGGAGGGTCATGATCCTTCATGACTCTGGCGTTCTCGATTGCTGGAATATTCGGAACATTCGAGCCCGAGATGGCCTCATTCTTTAATCCTGCCATGATTTATTGGAGTGATATTAACACAGAATTGTTTCTCGTAATCAAGGATGTGAATGAAATGTAGATGTTGCGGAGAAGAAATGTACAGACTTAAATACTTGGAGGTTCATTTAGAGCTAGGACCATGTACAGTCGATGGTATACAGCAGATCCCTAGTGAGCTCTCAGTGAATCTAGTGCTCTACAAGTCATATTTCTTCAATCATCAGTTGTGAATGAGTACTAATAAAGTATAGATCATCTAGTCAAGATTAAATGGCCATGATTGGCCTATATAGCTTCTAGCCTCGACTTCTCTGCCAAGTCTCGCTCGCCTAATCGAAACCTGGTCTCTGCAAACGCTGCCATTCCTTCGTGTGATTCACCCAGCTAACCTGAATATATAATTTCGTACTCCATACTCTGTACTCATGGCCACTGCTAAAACTCCAGTGTTAGTACCTAGGTAGCTATCCTTTGATTTCGTCCATTCGTAACAAATAGATACTTCATTCGACATCTATTCACTTCACTTGTTGTATACAAGGATAATCTTAGGTAAGCTTAGAATAAGCAAAAACCTACCTAGGTAGCACTGTAGATACAAAAATCTTTAGTAAGCGGAACTCGGTAACATTTTGGGGTGGGGAAGTCGTTGAGGTATAGGACACATAGGAAGAATTTGCGATAGAGATGACATGTATGAACGCGACCATAGGCGCATAGAGTGTGGCTAAACGATGCGCAGAGAGGCATATGTGTTTTGAGTATTGTACACACAAGGCGCTCGTGGGAGATTCCGCATCATCGTACTTCCGCCACGAACATATAACACTCAACATTATTCTCCATAAGAGCATCCAGTCTCGTCCCGTATCTCCGTTGCCTTCACTCAGGCCGGCTAAATACCCTCAGCAGTTTATTCAACATTGTTCCGTTCATCTAATGGATTAGAAATTGCGTCTCTTTATTGGAAGTGTCCGCAACGAAAGCACCTTCTCAGCCGGCCTTGTCACTCACAATCTTTCCTCGTCGCCAACACATAACAGTGGTTCCTTCCGCACTTCGTACCAATACACTATTATGAAGTCTGCTTGTTCGTCTAGCATACGAAGAGAAGGTCTGAGGCTCGATGTAATCGAGGCAAAAATGGGTGGATAGAGTTCGGGTTTCCGAGTGAACAAGGTTTTGAACACCGGTAACTGCATGTATCATAGCGTTTTTAAAAACCTGTCGTTGTATAAAAGTCAGTTGAAGTACACAAAGCCGAGCTCGGTGTTTACAGAGACGATACTTCTTTCCAGAAGATTCCTCACAGACTGCCTATATGAAGTGACAGGCCCCGATGTTCGTAGATTCATCTCATTTGTGCCTCATCCCACTATACTAGCGGTATGGTCCACCCCAGAGCTTGTGTATGTCATTGTAGTCTGCCAGCCCTGCCTAGTTATTTTTGCAGCTAGTTTCGATGAGGTCTGGGATATTCGCGCATCTAGATGATATAAGTCATTGGTAGTTGTTGATGTCGATAATGGCAATCTGCGGTAAAGCATGTCAGTTTCAGCTATCATTTTTTCCAGCCGTCAAAGAAAGGATAAAGGGGAGGGATCAGTAAATACCTAACTGCAAAATAAATGCAAGTGGATTTTCGTGCAGCATGGAGAGGATGATGGGTTGGCATGGTCATATGTAGAAGAACCCGCTAGAGCTGCGGCTTTGAAGTTGATGCTAAATCTCTTCTGCTGGATGAGTCTAACGAGTGGTGAGGCTTGTCTAGGCCAAGAGACAGGTATGCGAAGTGAGGCTGTTTGGTCAGTCCCTTTCTGCCGTTCAAAACATCCTTGAACTGTGGCTGTTAGTTTGCAGCCCGCTGTCGCCCTTTCGCTCACTGTCACCAATGCTTACTCCACAAACGCTTCACCTTCTCTAACCTCATCAACGATGATTGGTCCGCAGGTATTATCCCCTCCATACAATCTATCTTCTTCGATGGTTAGATTAAACATGCGTAGTTCCTACAGTATAATCTTCACGGCATTCCAGTCAAGCTTGAGACAGGTGGTGGAGAGACAATTCCAGAGGAATTGCTTGCTGAGTATAAGAAATCTTGAAAAGCCGCAGGTTTCGGATAAACTTATAAGGTTATCATTATTTCATGAGTTGTGGTAGTCAAAACATTGATTGCTTGTGCTGGAATTGAGAAGTGGCTGTCTTTGTATATATAATCATGACATTACTAAAATTACAATCACAAGGCTTGCAATAAATCACATCATTGTTTCTCACCGCAAACCCCATGCAAGCAAAGTAAAATTGTCTCCAGATCATGCCTAATGCTTCATAATATCAGTCACGGTTTTCTAATTCTCTTTTCCCAAGAGCCTAAGATCTATTTTGTGAATGATTGCGCTAAGAGGGCTACGGTTTTATTTTGAAAGTGAGATTTACTCCGCGCGCTCCTAAGTGTATCGTGGGCTCTGCCCAGATGCCTCTTGGTTATAATATCCCCTAGAATATATCAAATAAACTTCGTCGCTTAATAGGGTCTTATTGACCAGTTAGATCATCATGATTCCTAGATTTTAGTCCAATATTTATATTTGATTTTTAATATAAAATCCAATTAATATTTTTCCTATATTAAAATTTCTAATATAATAACAGATACTAATTTTCAATCTTTCTTTTTTTTAATTATAAATTATAAAAAATCAAAATTTGGAATCAAAAATCGATAATATAGAAAGTGTAACTAAAAAATTAGTAAAATAGTTATTCTATCCAAGTGGCCGTCGGGGAAAAAGAAATTTTTCAGACGATGGATTCGTAGAAGTTTCTTTTTTCTTTTTAAGTATTATAATAATTTTGAAACCCTACGAATTTGTAGACGTCGAATTCTTTTTCCCCGACGACTAGTACTATTATAATATGATAACAAGTCAGTGGAAGGATGCTGAGTGAATAACCACAAAATGATATTATGGTTAGCGAGATTCCGACTATATTCTTGGTATACGGCGCAGACCCCCATCGCAAGGAACCAATGCGTCAATTATCATACTATCCTGGATGAAACAAAGTTCGAACCACTGTTACCTCTCCCACCTCCTCAAGCAATTCTCATACAACCACCCACCCCACCCACCCACTCTATCCCTAAAAAAACTCTTTCTCTCAGAACTCTTCTACAATCCTCCAATCCTCCAACCTTCCAACCTTCCAACCTTCCAACCATCAAGATTAAAAAGTACTATCTAATCGCTTGAATCTCAATCGCTTGAAACTCAAATCTATATCTACATCTACATCTATATCTACATCAATATCTAATCTAAATCAGGTCGAAGTCTGATTCTGATCACATAATACCGAGTTGATTTTTCAAATTCTACTACTACTATTACTACTACTACTACTACTACTACTACTACTACTAGCACTCCTCACAGAAAGCAAGATTATCAAGGACCTCAGATACAATTCTACTCATTCACATAAACTATCTGACTTACGATTTATTGATTCATTTATTTATTTTCCTATACATCGATCTACACCTGGCTAACTCATCAAGTAACTTCTCTTCCTCCTTTCTCTTTCCTCTTTCTCTCTCCTAATCTCTCATCTCGCATCTCTCATATTTCGATAAATATCAATCAATCTCCTTCCTCCTTCCCTCTTTCCTCATCCCCCTTTCCCCCTTCCCCTTTCCCCTTTCCCCCCTTTCCCCTTTCCCCTCTCCACATCCACAACCACCCCATCTCCACCCAGCTCTCCTCATCCCACACAACAACATTACTACCCACGACCACCACATCCACCACCCAAAAACTTATAAAACAAATCGCAAACTTCATAAACTCATCATAATTCATAATCCATATATCTCCTTGCGCTCTCTTATCATCAACCTCTTCTCACCCCGTACTATCCCATCCATCCCATCCCATCCAAGCCCCAAATCACTAAACCCGCAATCTCAGATCGCACAACATTAGAAACAAGCCAACCGGTGACCTCCATCCGAAACGAAACGAATCCAAAATGAAAAGAAAAAAAATCGAGTATACAAAAAAATCGGGTTCGCACCCATCCAACCATCTCATGAAATTTTTAAATTTTTCCCCTTCTTCCATGCTTCCATCCTTCCATTCATTAATCATGTCTTTTTGATAAGAGTAACCTGGAAAACTCAAACACTATTAGTTCTCCTCCTAACCACTACCGGTTTCTGCGCATGTATAACCACCAATTTGAAACTCGCGTTCCACTTCTCGCATTCATCCAAGACCTTGATATCGGTAAAGATGCTTTTTGTTTCTTTCTCTTTCGGGTCTCCTTCCTCCTTCTCGTTATTTTCCATCTTAGTTTTCGATTCAAATGCAAGTAGAGAAGCTTCATAACATCTTCCATACCACCATCTTCCCACTTTCGCTACCATTCGCGTGATACTCTCATCTGCAGATTCACTTTCTTCCTTCATCATTTCAGCCAAACTTCTCTCTTCTTTCTTTCCCTTCTGTCGAATGACCTCCTCAACTTCCTTCTCCTTTCCACTTCTAACCCGCTCCAATACTCCCACCACCGGAATCCCCACCCGACAACTCTTCACATCCCCAAATCCTCTCGCTCCAAGCCCTCTAAGAATCATATCTCCCAAGCTTCCCAACACAACACCCTCATCCCTATTCTTCAATCTTGTTTTGAGACCTCGCACAGCGCGACGAGTACGAGGTCCCATATTTAACATATCAAGATCGAGAAGTGTAATTTCGATGTATCCACCTGGCTTGAGTACGCGTCGAGATTCAGAGAGGATGTGATTGTAAACTTGAGTCGTGAGAGAGGAAGGAAAGCGAAAAATTACGGTACTGAATGTAGAGGAAGGGAAAGGAAATTTGGTAGTGCTACTGAGAGGAGAAAATTGAATTTGCCGGTGATTAGGAGGTGGAAGTAGATAGGCGGGATTTTTCGTGTTAGTAGCTGGAGGAGGAGCGGTAGGAGACAGATTGTAGAATGTA